AACTTATATGGCTTTTCAGTTGTACTATTTAAGGCGTTTTTATGGCTTTTCTGTAATATATAATGTAATATATTTTGTTTTGATGAGAAAAAAAGAGTAGATGGCTGCTTTCAATTGATAAAATGTAATGGCTCGTCACTTCACTGAAGTTTTTTAAACAGAAATGTGTTCTGCAAGTTTAAATTCAATTAATTATCAGCCACAGAAGTAAGTAAGTAAGTAAGAAGAAATGTGAACTGAAATACTGTTACAGAAAAGAGGAGGAAGTGTCAGGAAGAGTCCAGTCCAAACAGCAACACCCAAGCAGATGTGTTTTTATAGTCATCCTTTTTGTTGTGTTGGATTAAGTATTGATTTAAAAGTTGAGATTCTGCCGTTAAAGGTTGTCCAGATGTTACAGCATAATGTTGTGAGAACTGAACTATGTACTTTAGCCTCTGCACACTTTTGCCAGAAGACCCCACTGACTCCTCTGGCCTGATGATTATGCCAGCTGTTAGCTCCCTCATCCAGCCAACAAGCCTGTCTCTTCTGACCAACCACCCTATGTGTCAATGTAGCCCCTTGTTTGGTTTGTGTGTGACGTACCATCGCTCTTATTCAGCATCTCCAGACTGACTGCAAACATGATTAAGTCCTGGGTGGCACTGTTGGCCTGGGTTCATAATCCAGTTTGGATATGAACACCAGGCTAAACCAGCACCAGGCTCCAGTTACTATACAGGATCATATTTAGCCAGGAAACAGAGCCGGTAACGCTGACTGCACTGGGTTACACAGGAGCTTAGTGTGCGTGTCCATGTGTTCTGGGTGGAGTGTGTGCTGAGCTAATGGAAGCCTATGACGCGACATTAAAAGCATGGCAAAATGTTGTGTGTGAGATAGAGAGAAACTGAAATATAGAGTGTGAGAGACGTCAGAGTTGTGTGTTTACTTCCAGTCAGGGAGTATTCGTATTCTGGTAAATGTGTTCTAGCTTTCAGAACCCCCAGCGTCTCAGGCATGCAGCCCAGTGTGTATGTTTAAAGTGTGTATGTTTCTGTGTGTGTGTGTGTGTGTTTGTGTTTTTGTGCATCCCAGTCAGAGCATAAGTATTTCCAGATGTGATGGGAATGTCTAAAAGGGGAAGAATGAGACAGCATTTAGACAGAACCTAAGACATAATAGTTAGCTGAGTCAGATAGACTTATGACTGTATTACTATACTTGTCATGGCTTTCCACTAAATTTAATAATTCCCACCCCTTATAATGTTAACCTTACCACCCCCAGTTCAATACTGTGTCTAACTTTAACTGGTATTCCCAGATTAATATGGAATTGTTCTTATTCTTCTCAAGCTATGCCATAAAATAATAACATCATCGTAACTGTGATTTAAACTTTCTGTCCAAAATCTAACCATAAAATCAGATTATGATTACTTATAATAATCCCATAATCCTCACTCAAAATTTAACTCACAGCTAATACTAATTTATACTAATTCAGAACTCTGAAGCCACGTCCTTTTTTTTGGGAAAAACCCAACACACAAACACAGCTGACACATCGTGGTGGTGAGTGTGTGACTTTTAACACCATATTTCACATTCATGTAGGTATTACATAGACATTTATGTGTATTAACATAGTAATGACACCTTAATTGCTGGTCCAAGGGTAATAAGCACCAGAATGCTTTCAGACATTCCAACAAATCATGAAGAATTTCAGCTTTTTCATTACAGAAGAAAATCTAATTTCGTTGCATGATTTCTTTCCTCACTTACACATACGCACACACACACACACACACACACACACACACACACACACACACATTTTGCTCCTTTATCTGGCCAGGGAGGGTGTACAGTGTCCCTCATCACAAGTATTAAAGTCCGAGCCTTGAGGACAGCTAGTTATGCCTGGAATGTCAGCTCACCTCAGTGAGAGTCAGCAACACACATGTGAATACACACCTCCTATACAAATACACACACTTGTAAGAACACACTCACACCGTCATGCACTGCTGCACAATAGTGTCACACACAGACTCCTTATATTGTGTGTGTCTTTGTAGTCGAATAGCATTGCATATGAAACATTCCTGTACTGTAGTACTGTTTTCCTGAGGCAGTAACAGGATATCCTCCCCCTCTGCACTGTCCTGCCTGCTGGACACACTCCCACGCACACACATACACACATATACACACATACACACATTCCTGCACATGCACGCACATACACACACATACAGTATATAGACAGGTCAAATGTAACTAGACAGAAGACCTCGTCTGTGTGAGTGTATACACAGAAGTGACATCTGGTCTTCACGTGGTTGCTAATATCATTAACTGGGTGAAAACTATTTTGACTTGTTGATGGGCAGAGTCTGGGAGAGTGAGAAGAAAACAAACAGTTGTCAAACTGGAGATGAAAGAAAAAATACATTCCCGTCAACCTCAGCTGCACTTCTGCGTTCTGTGCTAATAAGCAAATGTGAGCATGCTAACACGGCAAACTAAGATGGTAATCATGGTAAACATTACACTTGCTTGGCATCATTATAGCGTTGGCAGCATGTTATCAAACTGAAAGGAGCATTTAGCTTCACTCACTACTGTCCTTAAGTACAGCCCCACAGAGCTGCGAGCATGTCTGCAGACTTGTTACACTGCCAGAGATCACCTGTCAGTCAGACTGTCTGCATTAATGTGTTCTTATTTTCTGTCTTTTAATTGGTATTTTGGTTGATGGGTTAGTTTTCTGTATTGTAAGAGTCCAAACTGTTTTACTTTTAGAACAAGCTTGAGAAAGTAATAAAGTGGATGTTGTTTTATATTATAATGTCATAGATTTTAACATCACTAGTCTTGAATTGGAAATTTAGGAAGTAGTCCTTGAAGAGGATGTGTTTATTCTATATCACACAGAGAGAGTATAAAGCGAGGAATTTGCATGTGACTGAGTCAGATGGGTCACCAAAATGCCCTCAGAGAATTTTCTCAGTAGAAACAGGAGACATGAGGATCAGAGGGAGGAGGAGAGAGGACTGAAGGCAGGGGTGAGGAGGAGAGTGTTCAGTTGAGTATAGACAAGAGAAGGCTTTTTGAGGAGAGGCAGGGTGTTATAATCCACCATGTGACTTCAATGGCCACTGGTGAACACTAACAATCCCAGAGAGGACAGAGGAAGCAAGGAAGGAAGGAAAAGATGCAAAAAGAGTGGTAAAGATGGGGGGGGGCAGTTAGCAGAGAAGCGGACAGGGATCCAGAAATCAAAAAGGAGAGAAAAGAAAGAGGTTAAATGGGAGTCTGGTAGTGTGTCTGAGTCTTAAAGTGCAAGAGAGAGTAAACAGCAAAGACTTTCTCCTTATGGCCCCTGTGTGCTTTAACTGAACAGTGTTCCAATTGACTGAAGAGATCCTCATTAAATCCCCACGCACACACTCTCACATGTTCCAAAGGCGGGGTCAGCAACCCCTCATGGAGGTAAACATCCTTGGAATAGAGAGGTGTAATGGGTGCAAGGCAGTAAAACAGAAAGCCAATAGAGTATTTGTTAGTGGCCTGTGTAGAAAAAGAAAGTTCAATAAAGACAGGAGTGTGTAAATGAAGCTTCTGGCTAACGGTGGGTCTGGAATGTGTCGGATGGATGGTTCACAAAAACAGAAGGTCACAGGTTTGATCCCCGCATGCCAGTACCAACGTGTCCTTTAACCCGACATTCAACCCCTGTTTGTAAATGTATTCCCTGGATACATCACACTGTCAGTGAAATGTCTACCATAACTGATACTGTAAGTAAATGAATGTGGCAGTGAAGTATGGATTATACATACGTAGTGTTTTATAGGACTTTGGTTCTCAAACTGGAGAAATATAGTAGTCAAAATCACAGTATTGCATTAACTGGTGATGATTACTATATAAGGGTGTAACATACTTTGAAGTGATGATAATTGGATTGAGAAACTGTGTTAACTGTTTGTCAATATTAGGATTACATCACTGGAAAAAAGTGTTCCTCTTTCTATGAACTGAAGTCACCTGTGCTTGTTCATAATGTGTGCAGTGCTTTTCAGTAAGGTGACATCATATGGAAGCCATTCTGTGACGTTTTTGACCTTAATCCATCAGCTATAAGTTAGAGAATCAGTTTCTACAGGCTGTACGACCAAATTTTGATTTTGGAAGACATATTCCCTCATCTGATAAAAACTATTTACGATGTGGCCTTGAGCCAGGTACTTAATCCAAAAACACATCAGTGAAACTGCTCTGTGAACAGCTAAGGCTGAGAAGATACTGGGAGTGAATGTGTGTAATATACTGAATGTGAGGCTATTAATCTTGAAATATCTTTAAAGCTATAAAGTAAGTATCTTTGCTGACAAATCCCTTGCCAATGAAATTAAAGTATTAAGTTACAGTTTCTTGAAAGTGATGCCAAGTAGGAACAGGATAAAAAAACTTAAACACTGTTTAATGGACACGTGCTGTGAAGAGGAGCATAATATTTTGGTAAAAACTGTCATATGAATTATTTGCCATCCCACCTGCTAGTTTGGCTCATGTCTAATAGAGTAACCTAGAGTAAAGAAGAAACCGGAGGCATGAGAAGAGATAATTTGCCAAAATATTCAGCATACTGATTCCTTTAAACAAAGATACAATAGTTTTCAGTACTATGGAAGATTGTTGTCTTTCTGGTGTGTCCTAAAGAAGCAGTATGGGAGTTGGTGCCCCCTAGTGGTGGGAGACAGTCAGAACATACTCCTGCTGCAGAGGTTTAACTCTGTGTACTACTGCAATGCAGACCGACAGATTTATGTGTGTCTGTATGAGGTGTGTGTGTGTTTTAGGGAGTAGGAAGAGTCTGACAGAGTTTCTTTTATTTTCTCCTTTGAGCAAACATACTTTTTATTAAAGTGACCATGAGACTGTGTACAACTTCTCCATGCAGTATCTCTGAACCTTGTGTCTTTTCTTTGCTTGTTGACACAGAAATCGTGGCGGGCAGCCGAGGATGTCAGTGACACAATACCAAGAGAGCGAGCCCTGAAGAGTGTCAGTTTCCAGGAATCGGTCAGCGTTATCACTGACAGGCCTGCAACCATGGAACTGGAGAGCCAGCAGATCCAACATGGCTGCCTTAGCAGCCCCAGCAACCGAGCCCACAATGCAGTTGGTGTGAAAGTAGAGACTCCTGACAGCGAGGTGGTGCAGGTATGCAGGCTCTCTGAACAAGACCCGGCTCAGATGTTCAATTTCTTGTTTTATTTTTTCTGGAGTGGAGCAGGTATGAACACCAAAAAATGAAACTTGCAGCAATTTATTTTGAGCTGAGCAGAAATTGTTCTGTCTTCGTCACAGTCCTAAGGATTTCCTAAGCCTCTTTTTTCTTTTATGTGTTTCTTATTGTCTTTTCTTTTCAGCAATCTCCCTATTATTATTTATCTAAACAGACAGAGGCTTCCTCTGCTACAGCTATATAAGTTAATTTGGCAACAATTCCATAGCCTTCCATTGAAAAATAGAATTGGGCTGTACGCCATTTACTGTAGCAATTTTGAATAATGTGCCAAATATTTATACAATAAAAAATGTGATTTTAGTTTTGTTTGAGTCCCAAATACCATGAATCCAGGTCAACAATAACATGCTAAGTAAACTTTCCTTGGAACAATAATTGTTCATCCACTTACTGTTTTTGTGTCTCTGCCTTCACTGTCATGTCCAGAGATGCATGGTGGAGGACTGGCTCCTTTATTGTGATAAAACACATAATTATGGCTATATGTATGTTTTTATGGCTTCAACTTATCTGCATAGTATAGTTGTACACAACACCAATTAGACTTTCTGTGTCAACAGGAGATCCGCTATTTGGACCAGGTTTTAGACGCCGCCTCAGAAACACCCACCAACGGAAATTCTTCTCCATCAGACCACACCAGATCAATCAGCATCGACGGAAACGCTCCTTCTGTCTGTGTGTCAGCCTCCTCTCCTATCAGTCACCAGTCAGTCGTTGTGGAGGGGCAGAGACAAACCACATTCCTCCACCAGGAGGACTCTGCTGTGAGGACCAACGGGCATGTGCAGGGTGAGGAGTCGGGGCGCAGCGGGGCAAAGTTTGAGCTGAGAGCGTTTCAGGAGGAGAGACGGCCAGCAAAACTCTTCACCCCTGGAGAGGAGCAGCAGGTCAGAGTGACAAGGAGACGACCCACAGAGGAGGTAAATGCATGTTAAATAAGGTGTCAGCTGTAATAAAAACAACACAGTGGTGATGCTATTGTGAATATGATTCTGTGATGACAAAAATGTGGATTAGTAAGAGATTTGAGGAAAGCTCATGTGCAAAACCATTATAGTATTCCTGAGTAAGTATTTATTATGTAAACAGGCATAAATCAGTCCTTAAATGTGTCCCTTTAAAGTCAGAAAGTGATTATTGCCTTTTGTCCATATTTCCATATTGTATTAATATTTATCGATCCTTGTGTAAAATGTTTCAGGGATCTGAAAAATGTTAAAATGTGTGGAAATATAGTCTTAGAGTGTTGAGTGAAAAATGCTCAAAGAATATCTTGGGGCAGTATTAGGTTATATGTTTGTACTTTCTTCATCTCCAATGTTATATGAGCTATGACCAAAATCACAGCATATACTGCATATTCTTTACTTACCACAACGTAATGTAGGCCAAATCATGAAATCAGGAAAGCGCCTAAAGGGAGGGAATTTTGAAATTAAGAGTGTGTCGTAACACAAGCACATGATGTGACTGCCGGGCCCAAAAGGTCAGCTGTGGTCAGGTCACCGTCCGATGAAAAATAAATTCTGTGGAAAAAGGGATAATTTTCAGTTGAGTCACATTGTTTATGACCCTATGACAAGGTAGTTGAGTATAACATGGCTGACTCAAGGATAATACAACTGTTTGGCGAGGCACTGGAAAGCATTTATTCCCTCTATCAACTGCCAGGAGCTTTTCTCCTGTCTTAATTATCATCTAAGATGTGATGAAAAGCTAATTCTAATGGATAATTATTAAGAATGCTCTCTGTGCATATTCTTATTCTTTTCTTTTCCCTTTTTTTTCTTCTGGTTTGTTCTCCCTGTCAGGTTCAGGAGCTGGAGCGTGAGCGCCAGGAGCTGATCAAAGACCAGGCAGTGAAGAAAAACCCTGGGATCGCCCAGCGCTGGTGGAATCCTCCTCAGGAGGTAGCCTCCCATTAAATCTTTGTTTTCAGTTTTAACTCCAGTGACGTCCTGAGAAACTGATTGATTGGTTCTTTGGTTCATTCATTCAAGGTCCCTTTAGAAGAACAGCTGGACTCAGAGCAGCTTGAGTCTCTCAAGAAATACCAGGAGAGGAAACAGCAGAAACAGAATCACACTTATGCCTACACACAGGTACACACACACACACACACACACACACACACACACACACATACATTGGCACCATACCATTCTGAAGCAATGCAGATGAGTGTTTGTTTTCCGTATCACCTTTAGTTCTCCCCTTTCTTTAGTTCTAACTCTCTCCTTTGCATTCTGTCCTCCCATCTCTATTTGCAGCCCCAGGTGTCAGGTCCTTCCACCATGGTGACCTTTGACCCAGAGCTAGAAAGGAAGGTGGACATTGTGGAGGAGCAGATTGACTTCTCGTCTGCCAGGAAGCAGTTTCTGCAAGGGGAAGCAACCAAGAGGGACGTAGCTCCTCACATATACTCCGCCAAACCCTTTTCCAAATTCGTAATCAGGGGCAGCCAGGGCAGCAGTGACATTGTTGCGGAAACGGGGGAGGGTCACGTGACCTGGTCTGATGAAGGAATTGCAGGAGAATTTACTTGTGCACGCGCTGTAATGACAATCCTGCGCGAGGAGGAAGAAGGGAAGGGCCACTTCCATCCAGAGGAGTCTGACTCAGGATTAGATGAGTTATCTGTCCGTTCTCAGGACACTACTGCATTTAGCTTGGATAATGTTTCTGACAGCGGGGCTTCGCTACCGCCTACCCCGTTGCCACTCACCCCAGTTTCACCGCCTACCCCGCAGCCCACCACGCCAGTCAATGGGCAGACCAGTGGCAGTCCAGCAGAAGATGATCTGGAGTACCAGGCAGGGGTACTTGTCCAAAATGCCATCCAAAATGCCCTGGCAGCTCAGAATGGAGACGAGTGGCAGCCATCTGACTTGAATTCTTCACAACTGAGTACCCCAGTGTCTCCATCCTCAGCGTCTACAAGTAGCCCAGTGCCAGTTTCGTCCTCTCCTGTGTCTTCTAGTGGAGCTCCCAGTCTCCAATCACCTGCGTCCTCAAGTCCTGCTCCATCCAACCTGTCCCCTCAGCCAGAGAGACGGCCCGAAGTAAGAGTATATTCTGAAGAGAAGCCCTCAGAATCACAACAGGCTCCGCAGCAGCAGCCCTCCAGTCCAGCACAGCAACCACAGCTCCAGACACCTTCTCCACCTCCTTCTCAGCCCATCTCACCACCACAGAGACCCAAAGACGGAGGCCCCAGGATCAAAATCCAATCGTCTTACGCCAGAGCCCTCGCCTCCTCAGCCTCTGCTCCAGCTCCAGCTCCGGCACCTGCCGCAGCAGCTCCAGTTTCCAGGCCAACCCCAGTCTACCGTCCCCCTTCTCCTCCAAGCCCCGAGAAACCAGAGTTCAGCTACTTCAGTAAATACTCTGAGGCCGCCGAGCTGCGTAGCACAGCAGCAGCACCACGAGCCCCTGAGGTCGAGCCAGCCAGTGGGCCATTCCGCCTGCGCTCCAAGAAGCAGAGAACTTTGTCGATGATCGAGGAGGAGATCCGAGCAGCCCAGCAGAGGGAGGAGGAGCTGAAGAAACAGAGGGAGACACAGCCTGTTGTTATCGTCCGCCCCAGCAGCACTTCCAGCAGCAGTCATGGAAACGTGAGGACGGGGATGCGGCCAACCACCATTTCCCCAGCAGATAAGATGAAGAGCAACAGCCTGCCAGCCAGACTCACACTGACAACGAGGACAGCACCAGGTTAGTCTGTACTGTAACTATTCGCAAGGGTGTTTCTCATGTGGTCCCTGAATGAGACACCTTGTACAAGGTTGCCACACTAGCAGCATGGCACTGAGGATGCTTAAAATGAGCAAAACAAATAACAATTTACAGTGGCACAAAAAAGGAGGATAACAGCCTTTTTTCATTGTGGACACTTGTCATACTTGTCATTGCAGGATAAAGCACAGGTGTAAGTCAATAAGGGTTCCATTCAATCGAAGTGTGTCAGTAAGCTATAACAGTGATCAGTGAAATAGCAGCAGTTTGTCTGTTGTGTACATACCAGTTTTAATACATGAAACAGCTGCTTGGTGTGATCAGGATAAATTGATAAACATGTCTCTAATTCCATGTGTTCTTCTGTGATGTGCAGGAAAGATCGAGAAGGTTCGACCTGCACCGCCTGTCTCACCTTCGCCCTCAGAAGGAGCCCTGTCTGACGCCGGCAGCGAGGACTCTGGAGGATCACGGCCCAAAAACTTCATGCAGACGCTTATGGAAGACTATGAGACACACAAGGTGAAGAGGAGGGAGAAACTGGAGGACAACAGTGTAAGTATATAAACCTAAGTTAGCAGAAAGAAAGGAAAACTGTGTACAAACTCTATTCAAGACAACAAGTGCATTTTTTATGGATTTTATCTAGCATAATGTTTGTTGGTTGGTGCTAAAAAAAAATCTACTTACTATAAATAAATAAAATATAACTAAATAAATCTGTATAATTTTTTTTCACAAACTGACCACAGAAATATGATTGCAGCTCATCACACATTAAATGCTTGTTGGTTCATTGGAATTTAGTAATGTCAATAAGATTGAATGCTTTCATCCGTGGCCTGTGGGTATGAGCAAATACTGTACAACACCAAAGGGAATTTCCCAGCCTGAAGCAGGATATGAAAGTGAAAGTAAGGCACAGATGCTTGGGGATTTCTGTCCTGACTCCATCTTTTCACAATTTTTGTATCTGAATTCTTCTTTTCTAATGCCAGACGACATCTGCCAACGCATTATTGTTCAGGGTTACGTCCCTTTAGGCAGGAAGTATTGCATTTTGGCAGATTAAACTATAAGGGCTACAGTACAATTTCATGGTGGAAAAAGTTTCTTAACCAGAAAATGCAAACAGTTTCACTTCTCCATGTTTACTTTCATAATTCATGAGCATCATACACTCCCTTTAACTTTCACATACAAGAAAAGATACACCTACAACCACTAAGAGACCACACACAACAAATGACATTTCATTCATAGTTTTCAAGATATTTAACTGAATTTATCTTGAACATGCAGCAGGGTTGTTGTTGATCATGTTGTTTCTCCATAATGACATCACATGTGTTGACTATGTGTACTGTTGCTTCTCTCCTGCTGGTCGGTCAGTATGCCCGTTTGTTGCTGGCTAACGAGGTAACCAATGAGGTACCTGTCACACGTTCTCACTCCGTTAACTGCCTTTTTGACAGACCTGGGTCAGAGAAACTTATATATATAAATATATATAAATATAATACATTCCTCTGTATATTTAGACTGTTTCTGTAAAGATAGAACTGATGGTTTTATAGGTTAGACATATCCTGTATCACATTTAATCGTGTCCCCCTGAGGTCATTAGTTTTCATCAGGGTTATTTCCAGTTCAACTATGAAATAAGAGAAAGTTTCCACATACAGATGAGTCACCAGAGTGGAGATTTCCACTGGCAATTGTTTTTTTACTCTCCATTAAATGTACTCAACATTGTAGGTGAGTCAGCAGTAAGAAACACAAACTGTGTCACTTCAGATGTGAAACCGGTCCAGGAAATACAGACGAGGATGATATTATCTTTGTTTAAAACCCTAGGCTTTTATATCTGATCCCAGGTCTGCTTAAGGTCTCACTGCCTTACTGTTCTGCTCTGTGGTGTTGGTGCTGCATGTGCTTGTCCATGGATATGGTGTGACCTCTGACTCCCCCCCACTCCCATGCACAATGTTATGCTCTTGCTCTCTGTATACATAATCAATACTGTATGTGCTGTATTATATATATATATATATATATATATATATATATATATATATATATATATAGGTTCTTTAAAATATAAAGGTAACGGAAAATGATTGAAGGGTAGTTTTATAAATGTGCAAATGGATAATAAACCTCCAATAATTAGACTTTTTTAGCTAATGGTTTTCTTTTAAACACACAGCATGCTTCATCAGAGAAGTATACACCTATTAATAGAAATGGTGTGATGTGTTGTACTTCTTGAAGCTTGAGTAGGATTCAGTGATGTGAGAATCATCAACATCACAGTAGCACAGTAGTAACAAACCTCTAGACCCACAATCCACCTCACCTTCACCCTGGATTCCTGCTCACTGAAACATATGTCGTGTGTGTGTGTGTGTGTGTGTGTGTGTGTGTGTGTGTGTGTGTGTGTGAGGAACGAGTATAACATAAAATGTGGAACAAAACCAGTGTTGTAGCATGAAACTTCCCCTGAAATGGAGTAAAATGACTTTAGTTTTTTATTGTCAAGTACTGCAGGTGCGCTTCATTTGGTTTGGGTCATTAGTTGTGAACCTTTACTGCAGGATGGTTTAACCAAGCGCTCCCTCAGTTTTTGACATACACTGCATGTCAAGTTAAAGCCACTGTGGTGTGTTTTCTTTTTGTGATGTTGTTGCCATTGTATCCCTTGAGCCGGGGAAAAGCATGTATTATATCAGTAAATAGCTGTGTCATGCTAACTCATACAGTGCTATGACTGTGTGTGCGTCTGATGGGCTGTTTTGTAACTGACAGGTTCTGGAGGCCACTCGTGTCACCAGGAGGAAAAGCGACATGGCGCGGAAGTGGGAAGCCGGTATCTACGCCAACGAGGAAGGAGAGGAAGAGGAAGAGGAGGAGGAAGAAGAGGAGGAGGAGGAGTAAAAAAAGCTCCTTTCAGAGACAGTTAAGGGACAGAGTGGAAAGAAGGAGGATGAAGAGACTGAAGGAAAAATGCAAACAAGAGGAGGAGCAGGATGAAGTGAAGGATAAAGGAGAGGGAAAGGAAACAGTATTTATTTTACTAATAGTATTCTGATGATCACATGACCCACTGGCTTGACCAATAGGGCTCATGAAAGAGATGCATCAAGTTGAGGGTTGAAGGGGCAACAGTATGTAGAGTGACTGAGTATGTGAGAGACATCTGAAGTGTTGAGGTGAGTTTGGAGAGGAAAAGGTCAGTGATGCAAGAGACACTTTGAGAGGGTTTATGGTGGTTTAAGAGCACTGTTCAGAAGTGTGTTTGGGATAAAAGGTTTTTACTACTTGGTAGACGCTGAATGATTTTAAATATTCATAGGGTTTTTTTTCATTTACCTGTAATTTTTTTTTTATTGAAATATGGTCTGAGATCTAAAGATTTTATTTTGACAGGTTGCCTGATAATAGTGTTGGCAATGGGTGCTTGATAATAACCCCAATCATCTTGAAAATGTGTGGAAGGAATTTTCATTACAGGAAAAAAAAAAAGATGACAAGCAGGTGTGTGCAGAGTGACTATCAGGAAGCTTCTGACTGAAAGCTGTTCAAGAAAGAAGAAAAAGCCTAATCACACACTCAGACATTTCTGTAATGGCATAATTATTTTTACCTGGATGAGATGATGCTGCAGGAAGGATGCGATGTTTGAAACAAATGGGACCCAAAGCATCACTCTCAGAACCTGTTATAATTTCACCCTCTGCATCCTGCAGTGCCACAGTGCAGATACAACACACACATGTTGGTGAGAGCTTTTCGCAATCCTTTCAAGCATCTGTATTAAAGGTCCAGTGTGTAACATTTAGGAATATCTGTTGGCAGAAGTGAAATGTAATATTCATAGATTCCATGTTGAACTGTTTCTACAATAGCCCAGAATGGCTTCTTTTTTCTTTTTTTGCGATTTCCGCAATCATTGTAGTTTCTTCTACCTGCTTAGAAGGCTGAGCTGTATTCAAATGGTTGCAATCTGCAACTGCGCCGCTCCACGCCACTAAATCCTACGCACTGGTCCTTTAAATCTTAAGTGCCGACTCGAGGGTCAGCGTCCTTGAGCTGTTGAATTCTAGCGAGTTGCAAAACTAGCATCAAGGTTCAACTTTGCCTTAGTCCGTCAGTAGTTGTGGGGATGCACGTTATCTATGATGTATTTTATCTTCTCCTATTCTCTATTACTACAGATTCAATAGACCTTAGAGAAAATACGCAACCACATTAGATAGAAAGTCTGTCTATAAAACACTATTCAGTGATCTTGTGTCTATAAAGTGCAGTAAGTCGAAACAGGAGGAGTTTAAACATACGGGGAAGAGGGAAGCTAACTGCGGGTCATGTTTGCATCAGTGTGTGTATTAATTAAAGGGCTGGGTCGGGGGTTTTATATTCTAAAAAAAATCACTTATTTTAACTTTGCTGGCTTACGTCGCTTTGTTGACCTGTGCTTTCTGATGTAAGCAGTCGTTTCATGTATTATACTGAGGTAGGACTGTGTATTTGATATATGAACATGTCTGTTGAGATTCCAGTGGGGCAACTGCCGTGTGTCTGCTATACCTTGCTAGCTGAGATCAAGTTTGATGGGAAATATTGAAGAAAGCTTTTTATAAAACGTTGTTATACCAAAAGAGAATGTTGTTATTTAGTCAGCCTTATGCTCTTAAGTCTATTTAAGAAGATTGATTGTGTGCATGACATTACACTCCTAACCTGAAACAAGCACACAACATGCAGGGAAAAGAAGGCAGGTGACTATCAGTAGAGGCCACAATAACCAGGCTGATTCATGGGTTGTCCGTTTTTTTACTAAACATATTGTGAGCTTTCCAGCACAATGTGATTTTTTTGTTTTGTTATATGAACAGAAAATGACCACAAACAGGCCTCTATGAGTGTGGATTGTCCAGGTACAAAACAAGGTTTAGCTTCCAAAATGAAACCAGTTAAACACAATCGGAAAATAATCCCTGGAGCTGTGGAAATTGTATTTTTGAACCACTTTAACTGAAAAGTAGCTGATTGATTCTACTTTTTCAGGCTTTTTGTTATACCTTGTTTATTGAAGTCTTTGAGAGAAAGATTTTCCTGTAAACCACAGGTCCCAGTTTTGATCACCCCATCTGCTAACATGGCCTGTCCAAGTGTCCTTCAGCGAGGCACTGACCTTCCTCAAGGCCATCCTCAGCTAAATGTCTGAAATATAAACATACACTGAGGTAAACGTGCACAAAATATAAAGAATTGACACATACTAACCCTTAACATTAATGATTATTATATTTATTGGGACGGTCCCACCCTGAGTGCAGGACAAGCTTCTCTTGGCAAATGATCCCACTCTCTTTAATTATCTCTTGCAGTATGCTCTCGGAGGAAACACAGTGCCACTAACTTCACCAACCAGAAGTGAGAACCAAGGACTCGCGCCTCTGTGATGTGTCTGTTTCCCCCTGAAACAAAAAAAAACCCACATTGGTTTCAGAGAATCATACTTGTGATTCATTTAATACACATGTAATAATATATTAAATGAGTATTTAAAGGACCAGTGTCCCTTTTTACGAGATGTTTTGTGGTGCAGAAGAAATGGTGTCACTGGCAGGAGATGCATTTTGCCACACAAGTTAAGGGACGAACGAGAGAAAGCCAGTCGGTTCTTACAGTTGCAGAAAGACATCAGGAACATGATCTGAGCTGTCTGACAGTATTAAACACGCTTTACGGATATGTTGATTCCATGTGAGAGATATTAGATGTTAGAGGAAACGTAAGCTCAAACAGAAATTTTTTTCCAGAAGAATAACGGTTACAGAGCCCTTGCAATGGATGCCAGCATCATGAGCAACAAAAGCAAATGGCTACCACCCTCCTTTACTGTAGCTGCAGCAGCACATTGTAAAACTGCACCGCGTTCTGAGTTCTCATTAAACACACGCTTTTGAAATGGTAACAGACATCCTGCACACGCAGAGGAGATATAATTGTGTGATTTATTATTATTATAATGCTTTTGTTGTTTTGAATTCATGGTGCAGAGATGATTTATTTATCATTTTTAAATGCTGGTAGCTTGTTTTTTGCCTGCAGAAGCGCCCGAGCTTCAGTGTGGGACTCACACTGTCTGTGTGTGATAAAGCAATCTTATTATACAGTATACACTATAACCTCTGTTCCTATGTTAACCACTTGTAATGCTCATACTCTGCTTTGTTATTTTATAGCACATGTAAGGCTCACAGTTATACACCTACTATATATATTATGATTATTTTCTCATTAAAAACAAAACCTGTACATGTGGGATTTCTGAGTGGTTCATTTCTGTTTGTTTTAACTAATAAGACAGACTTTTAGTTTATATCATTCAGCTTTACACATCATGTGAGAAAGCAGTTGTGAGCGACAACTTTTACGAAAGTGCCTTGTGGTCAGTGCAGTGAAGTGTGTGTGTGCTTTTGAATGCATCCTTCTGCAGCAGCCGACTCTCCGGTTCGTCCACACAGACCGACGGAGGTGGACTACGTGTCTGACAGGGGTTCCAAGTTCCTTACGGTCTGTTTTCAATGTGTTCAAACTGTAGTTTATGTTTATGTTAATGTTCTAACATGAACTGAAACCAGTGGCTGCCACGACTACAAAAGTGTTTGTGAATAGAGCTTATATCGCCCCCCCCAAAAAAAAATAAAAAATTCAAGCTTGACCCAACCTGAGCCTGAAAGAAATTCTGTGCGAGCCCAAACCATGGAAGCAATCCGGGACCAGAGCCTGACCCGAAATTCTGCTTTTAAAAAATGTATAAATAATGTAAATAACTAATATTATTAATAAGTGCATATAATTATCAAAACTTAATAAAATATTACATATATTAAAACATTAATCTAATTCTGTCTGAGCCCGACCTATGGCAGCAGCTTTGGGCCCGAACCCGGCGGGTCGGGTCGGGTCCAACTTTGTTTGGGGAGACAATCAAAGCTCTGATTCTGAATACCACAGATGCCAGAGTCTGATACAGTCAGATATTTGACCTTCCATTTTGAATTATTTTTCTGTTCAGCTCAGTTTCTTCTTGTCCTGTTTTCAGTTTCTTTGGTATAAAGAAATGAGTCTATTGGGATGTTATATTGATATTGAGGAGAGGGTGGTTTCCCAAACCTCTCTCTCTCTCTCTCTCTCTCTCTCTCTCTCTCTCTCTAACACACACACACACGCACAAGACACACACGCACACCTCTCATCGTGTTCACGCCTATCTTATAAAGCAGCTGAGCACGTGAGGGGGAGGAAGTGGGTGTGAGAACTTATTTTCTCCCTCGCTGCGTTGTTTGCAGACGCACACAGACTGAGGCAGAGGAGTCCAACGCGTCCCATCCAAACAGAACAACTCAAACTGAAACTGACCTGTCTGACCAGTCCAACCATGGCGCTGCCGGTCCGGGCTCAAGCAGCCTTCGCGGTGCTCCGGCAGATTGAGCCGATCCTCGTGCTGGAGCAGCTGGGTAGCACCCTCTTCGACACCGCCCTGCAGATGGTGGTCAGGGACCGGTGTGCCAACGCCACCTACCCCGACACCCACAGCTCCAGAGGGGACAGCGAGCAGAAAGCCATGTCGGACTTCTACATGGTCTACAACCTCATCATCCAGCTCACTCCCATCCTTCCCGCGGTACTGCTGGCCAAGGTCGGCGACCGCGGCTGGAGGAGAGCCCCCATCGTGGTGCCCCTGAGCGGGTACCTGCTGTCCAGGCTCGCCCTGCTCCTGGTGCTCGTCTTCCGGCTCCCGCTGCAGGTGATGTTCGGCGCGGCGGTTCTCTTCGGGCTGTCCGGCGGCTTCTGCGCGTACTGGCCCGGCGTCATGACGCTGGCGTCGCTCCGCTCCACGGCGACTGAGCGGTCCGAGGTCGGTGTGTTCGGATGGAGTTGCATTAAGTGCTGGTAGAAGGCTATAGAAGTGTCATTTTGTTTTGTTTTCAATATCATTAATTAACTAAATTGTAGCCTATACTTTGTTCATTGTAAGGATACATTTGATAATATAAGGTACCGACTTTATTGGCTGGAAAAATAACTTATCTTATGTCATCAATACAATGAGCTGCTAAATCAGAAGCATTGTCTAACTCTATGAACAATGTAATGTATAAATATATAATGCTTGTTCAGTAAGTTGGTTCTCTAAGCAGGTTATGTTGTCAACCACCATCCACAACAAATCCAACTCTACAATGAGCACAGTGGATTATTATATTACATCTGGATGACTACACAGACTGTGATTTAATTGGAGCACATATTAGAGCACATACTGTATAAACATTCACTAAGTTTGCATATGTTTTGTGGAGAGACAGTATGATCTGCATATCCTTCAGGATTTTAAATGTAGGACTTAATGGAGTGGTTTTGTCCATGAGTATTTTTCTTAGGTAAAGAATCTGGAGATTTCTTCCCTTATTTACCCTCTGTTATGTCAAATACCTTCCAAAACTATATAACACCTAAAACCTAATACACCTAACACCTTATTAAATGTCAAAATAGATTTGTTGTAACGACATGCTGTCCTTGCAGGTGATGATGAGAGTGGAGTTGCTGTATGGGATAACAGGTCTGGTGGGCAGCCTGGTGTCGGGTCACCTGTTCCTGCTGTACAACTCCAATTTGGAACATGGGACCATCCTGCTCATTGTGAGCACGCTGCTGCACCTGCTCAGCCTCTTACACTCCATATTCGTGCTGCAGGTCAGTGTGTGTGTGTGTCTGTGTGCGTGTGTGTATAAGCTAAATATACATAGGCCTACATAAAGATTAATACAGTTTTTTTTTCATGGAAAAGATAAAGCAAATTAAAACTAACTGCACATTCCTAAAAAGTTGTGTGATCATTTGAAAGAGCAGATTAATGGACAAATTGACCAATAAGAAAGTTATTAAGCATTGGTAAAACTAACTGGCAGCAGTAATGCTAATCATAGTGACAATTTAGGATGACAAGGCTGAAATAACACAACAATAACACACATCCCAGAAGGAAATTCCATATTTAAAGTTTATTTTGGCAGCCAGAGTCTGAGAATTGCTTCACTGTTGTCACTCAACCCTGCCCCACCCCTGAAAATATTTTTGGACTGATGAGAAATCACCTGAACGATTTCCTTGTTTGTTATCAGAGAGATAACACGAGCCAAGTTGTATGTAATGGATGACACAGGGGCGGTTTGCCACTGTGGATCTGACTAAACTCTACCTCTAATTTCAAAAACTTAACCTTAAGTGTGACATGAACAGGAAACAATTATTTATGTGTCTCCATCTTAATTCAAGGTGAAACAAGTAGCCAACCAAGAGCCAGATGAGGACTGCCACATCCTTTCTAACGCCTCTGGTAATGCTCCTGTGGAGGCTCCTGCTGGGATAAACATGGTGAACGTGACCCTGCTGTTTGCTGCTGCCATCCTGTATGGCTCTGCGGTGGGCGGAGCCATGGAAATACTGGGCCTGTTTGTGTTGAAAGAGCCACTCAGCTGGACTGCCACTCAGGTATTGTAATGTATGGAGCTGGCTTACTGTAGATTCATATATGTATCGTGTGTTATTATGTACAGTATAGTGTGTATTCATTTTGTCACACTTTCTCCCTCTTCCTCTCTTTCTCTCTCTTTCTCCAGGTGGGTTATGGGAACGCAGCAGGATGCATGATTTTCCTCACCAGCTTCCTCGGTGTCATTGTATTTCGCCGCTGCGTCAGCGACGTGGTGCTCATCCTGATCGGCATGCTGTCGTTTGCCTCAGGAATTTACGTCATGTCCTTCGTCACGGCCACCTACATGTACTACCTCGGTAAGACTGAGGAGCAGTTTTTGCAATTTTAATCACCCCCCCCAAAAAAAATCCTTGCAAGTCACACATAGCCACCTTTTTTCACTTAAAGTACGACACAAGCATACTCTATCGTATCTTCCTTAACATTTGTCCCATTATATTCTATCACAAGACTAAATACTGGAATAATAATCCCACTTATTTTTTAAAAACATTAGAATTATATAGAAATTAGGTTTTGATTAATTGTTTAGCCTATAAGTTATCAGAAAATCCCGCCACACTTTCTTAGAGCTCGAGTTGATGTCTTCAAAGTAGTTGTTTCGTTTGACTAAAGGTCCAAAACCTAAAGATAATACATTAACAATGATATGAAACAGAGAAAAGAACACCAATAACAAATACCCCCAAAATTGGAGAAGTTGGAACCAGTATATTTGCTGGATAAATGACTTTTAACAAGCAATTGATAACCAAATTGGTTGGCAATTCATTTTCTGTTCAATCAATCAATCATCCTGCACCAGTGAGACGCTTAGATGTGTGGATCAAAATACAACATAGCCTCTTTTGTAGTTTAGTTGTTGGTAGTAGACGGTGCCATCCCGCAGAATCAAAAAGTCCCTTGCTGTCTATCACATGGGACCTGGTGGTTCACCGCCGGGCTCACAGAAGAGCAGCCAGGAACCAGCTTTTCTTTTCATTTTCATTTTCATCATTTCAAGTGGCTAGCACAGCAAACATAAAAAAAAATTAAAGCTGCAAGCAGCGTTGAGCGGGACCTCGCACTCCACCCAACTCGGGCGTGCTGCGGCCGCGTCGCGTGCCGTCGTAACGCGTGGGGACCACAACATGAAAATGTCACGTACATCAACTCAAAATCGCCACGCAGCGCTTACCTCCTGTTGCCAGAAGGTGGCGCTATAACTATGTCTGAATGTTGTCATGTAGACATGTTCAAGGCGAGAGTGTTATCAAACACGTGAAGTTTCATTGAGATTGGACCACGTACGCTGAAGTTATGAGGACGTGTTCAGGGCAAAACTGTTTCAGAATATATTAAGTTTATCGGAGATTGAACATTGCACACTGAAGTTATGAGTGGCATTTCATGGCGAATCCGCTGAATTGGACAAGTCGTCACTGGCACGCGGTTTAATGTACAGTCCCAGCTGAACTTTTCTATCAGTTTGTATGACGAAAGAATTCAAAGTGACCAACTTTGACCTCATGCCACAGACACACCGTTCAACGTACATGCACAAATAGCACAACTTTTAATCAGGACCATTTTTTGAGTGTACTCACAAATTTTGAAGCATATCAGATAAATTCCCTAGGAGGAGTTCGTTCAAATACAACGCGAAAAGTTCGCCGAAATCGAAACTTTAAATCAAAATGGCCGACTTCCTGTGGGGTTTCGGGTATGGGTCCAAGAGGCTTTTTTGTACGTCCCGGCATTCTAAACAGGCCTACCGAGTTTCGTACATATCGGTGAAACGTGGCGCCGGGGCTGCTGTTTTTTTATCCTGTAGGGGGCGCTGCACACACGACAAACACGATTTTTGGTATGTGAGCTTCAGGCACTACTCTACACGTGCCCTGTGAATTTCATATTCATAACTATTACGGTGTCCGTACAGTGATTTTTCATGCCAAAAAGCGCCACCTAGTGGCGTATTTTTTTGTCCTTTTTAAGGGAGCCTCGGGGAGCCATGGGGAAGCATCGTACCAAGTTTCATCTTAATCACACATACCGTTGTAGAGATATAAACGTCTTCATTTTAAAGAGCGCCACCTAGTGCTGATGGCCTGAAATTGTGCACGATGCTTAAGGAAGACACCTGGAACTATGCACCCAAGTTTGGTGTCAATCGGACATACCAATGTGGAGAAATGGTCCACTTCCTTTTTTGATGAAAATTCCACAGGAAGTGCTAATTTTATAGCGTGCTTATTGTTTGAAATTTCGAAAATGTTCAAATTGCTTTTTTTGCCAGGGCGGTCCCCAGGTGCTAGGTGAAAAATTTCGTGGGAATCGGACAAAGCGTGTAGGAGAAACACGAAAAAGTAGTTTAACGACATTTCGCACTGTAACGAAAAAAAAATTATAGGCGGAAGTGGGCGGGGCCTATATGGAGAGATTCAGCTCCATTCACCGAACGCGTGGATATAAGTTTTTGAATGTGCGAGCAAATATGCAAAAGTTATTAAGTAACAAAAAAGTGAATATTCGTTTCTCAATAGTAGCGCCACCTAGTGGCAGACCCAAAAGTGACACATGTAAACTCCGCATTTTCACCAGGCCTGACAACTTTGCCAAATAAAATTGACTTTTCGTATATGTTCAGGGGGTAAAAATGCAGTCAAAGGGTCCTAAAAATAATAATAATAATAATAATAATAATAATAATAAGAAACGAACCAAAAACAATAGGGACCTCCAGCGGTCTGCGAGGTCCCTAAAAATAGGGGTTTGTTTGTCTAGGTTTGGCTCAGCAAAAGTAAGAATGAGGAACTGAATTTGTGTTATCTGTGTTAAAGGTCATGCTGTCCAGGTTTTTACTTCTTCCCAGGAGCCTAGTCGTAATGACAGATCTCGGTTATCAGTCAGTCAGTCAGTATCAGTCTGTATGCCAAGTATGAAGCTACCAGTTGCCAAGCAACTAGTGAAGACGTCAACAACTCACTGGTACCGGCCAAGAAATAGTTTTAGTTTAGTCTTTAACCTTTTTTTTTGTACCAATTAAACAAACATACAACATGTTAATAGTGACGGAGCCGAGCTAGCCGTTTCCCCTTTTCCAGTCTTTTTGCTAGCTGGCTGCTAGCACTAGCTTCATACTTAGCGTACAGACATGCTACCTTCATATTAACCATAGTTGTGAGTGGTATCACATTTTCTCATAAACGTTCTTTGCTTAAGTAAAGAGCTGGCAGACTCAGGCCGTACACAACAGGAAATGGAAAAGCCTTCCTAGAACTGGTATAATGTTGTCCTGTTTGAAAGCAGTAGAGTGGTAGACGGAAACTAAATGGACTTGAACATTTTGTAGTATCACAGGTTACAGTTTTACTGAACTCAAAAGACTGATTGTTTTTGATGACGTGGGTGTGATAATGCAAAACTAGCTCCATTAGAGACCTGACACACATGCTGAGAGAAAATAACATGTGGAGGGAGAGGAAATAAATGAAGGTTCATTTCTCCGCAGCTCGCTCACTCAACCTGTTTGCACTCATCCCGATGCCCACCATCAGATCTCTGCTCTCACAGCAGGTTCCAGCAGCCTCATGTGGTGAGTATATAACTGTGTGTGTGTGTGTGTGTGTGTGTGTGTGTGTGTGTGTGATGAGTAATAATAACATTAGAAATAATAGAGCTGTGAAAACAATTAAAAACATTGGAGTATTATGCAGACACATGCTACTAATGGTTCACCTCCATTGTATTGAGGTAGAGAATAAGACGTATATCTCAAAACCAAAATAAAACCAAAATGATCTGCTAGATACTTCCAGATGTAACTGAGGAAATACAGCTTTTATAATTTGGGTGAACTCCTCTTTTTAGGTAAATAAAATTAGCGCTGTATGCAAAAATAAAGTATGTCAGAATGACAGCAAGTAAAAACATTTGTTTCATTCAACCTTTTCCTTCACAATGGAAATCAAAACCCTGACAGATCTGTGACACCTGACTTCATTATTTCATTCTAAAAGTGTTGCATTGTTGATATTGAAGCTGGCATTTACATACTGTAGTATCATGATATGGATCTGTTAAATGTCAGAGAGAAGGGCAGGCACACATCAGAGTGAGCACAGGAGGAAGTTGCGAAAAAGGGATGACAACATGATAAGTTGAGGTTTCAGTCCGAAGGTCATGGACCGGTCAGAAAAATTATTCCCAACTGATCTGATACTGATGGAGTGAAAGTTGTCTTATTATAACCATAATTAGCGAGGAAACATGTAAAACACTGGATGCTTTAGAAATTGTTAATTGAAACATAGATTTTATTTGTAATAATTTGCAACCTTATGCTGCACTATACAGTACAGCAGATATTCAAGCGTAGGGAAACAGTGATTCAACAAGATATCTGTCTGTTCAAAAAGCAGAATTTGTGACATGATTTACTGCTTCTTAAAACTCCAATCCCAGAACAACAGCTTGTGCAACTGCGTGGTGGAGGAAGGAGGTATTTTGGGCTTGGTTGGCTTTTGTCTCCTGAATCAGCAGAAAGCTTCCAGTGCGAGGCTAAGAAACATAAGAAAGGTTAAGCACCTAAGAGATAGTTTATTCATAGATTTTGATCAGGCTACCATCCTTTGTAGTCTTTACTTCTAGTCTTTTGTGTGTGGGCACAGTGCCTCACTACTGTTAGACACGTATGGACCCGTGGGGGAGTGGTGTATACTGGAAACCTGTGGTTAGACTGGTTTATTCCAAAAAAGATGACACATCATAAAGAGCCTGTTCTGCCACTGGTTACTGTCCTGCGCTTGCTCTCTCTCTCTCTCTCTCTCTCTCTCTCTCTCTCTCTCTCTCTCTCTCTCTTACTCACATACACACACACACACACACACACACACACACACACACACACACACACACATACTGCAATTAGAGAAGCAGGGTTATTCATTGTCAGGGTTTTTCCTGTGTGTTTGCTTTGACATGACGTCTGTTTGAGAAGTCAAAAACACACACACACACGAACAACCTCAACCCTTTTCCTGTCAGCACACAAACACACACACACACACACACACACACACACACACACACACACACCCACACACACAAGGAAATTCAAATATATACAGTATATGAATACAGGATGAGAAAACCTTAAAGTAAAAATTCGACTTTTTGACAACTTCCACAACTTGCCTGGCAACTGGTCCTGAAACGTTAACACAGTCAGGCATATAACCCCACATAAAACGGCCAATTGACTTTTTTTCACTTCTGTATTTGTACGGCTTAAACAAATGAGATTTGACATGTTGACTGAGCTTGGAGGTGCTGGTTGATGGATTTTTGTTACCTTTGGACAGAGCCAGGCTAGTTGCTTCCCCTTGTTCCCATTCTTAATGCTAAGCTAGCAGGCTATTGGTGGTCGCTTCATAGTTATCCTACAGATATGAGATTGTATCAATATTGTTTATGTGCTTATGTTAAAAGAAAATGTATCTATATGTTTCCCCTTTAACCCTCGTTTTCTTCTTTCCTTTCACCTATCTGCCCTCCTTCCCATCAGGCATCACTCTCACCTCCCTGCAGTTGTCTATGAAGTTTGCCGGGCTGGCGTACTTCCCTGCCTTCACTAAGATCTATCAGAGAACCCTAGACTGGTTCCCAGGCTTCGTCTTCACACTCTCCAGCATCTTGACAGTACTGGGAATGATACCCATCAGGTAGGGTGGGCAGTATAACCTGGCTGGCACTGATAACTGTTGATCTATTGCTCTGGCTCAATATTTGTTAAAGGCTGGTGTTTATTTTTCAACCACAATAAAAAATGTATCTGAGTATTTCTGAATAATTTTGAAATATATGAAAATCATATTAAAAAGCGATTCAGGGGGGAAAGAAGAACTCAATTTACAATGTAAACACTTTCACCATTTCTTTTTTCTTTAACTTAATTTTTAATTAGTACTGGAAAAACACATACTCGCTCTTTCCTGCCAATATTTATATAATAAGGTTAATACCACTCTTATATCTGAGTCAATTAGCTTAGCTTAGCTTAGCATATCTTAGGGTAAAGACTGGGAACAGCTCTTTTAAACCTTTTTAACTCATTAAACTTTCTCATACTTTTATTTTAAACTTCGTAGAGAGGGACTCACAGAACAGCTCATAAAATATGCTACTTTTTAAACAATCTAGGTATTAAAAAACAATAAATGTTATCTATACCCTATTAAGATCAAATCATCAAGGGTATGTGACAAAGGTATTGTCTCTAGACCAGTGTTGATATGATGTACAACTTTGAATGAAAAACACACATCTTCTCATCAGAACTTTTCCTCTCTTCCTCCTCCAGTATCATCGGCTGTAGGTCACCTCAGAGACGTCACTACGTGAGGATTCAGGGAGACTGATGGCACAGACATGATCACCGGCAGTGAATTAGTGTTGGTATGACCCAGACAGGAACTGAGACTTGAAATGGGCAAAAGGAGAACAGCGCCTTTAATCTCACTTCCTATAATGTTAAAGCTAGAGATATTTGAGGAGTTCCTGAAGGCTTTGGCTGTTACAGGAGGAACAGACCACAGGCTTTACATTTACATGGGCATTTTATATTACAAATAACATAAATTATCTGATATATTTTAATGAGGCCTAGGCAGATTGTACATGCCAGAGGTAGTTACACAACCGAGTTTGACAAAAACTTTAAAACAGTCAAACTTTTGACATCAGCCAGGGAAACTTGTCTGAACTGCTTCAAAACCATGAAGCAACACACCCAGGGTGATTTTTAACATAAGACATTTGTCACTGAATGTGTCAGACATTAAATGCTAGTGAGCTCCACCAGGAGAGTGAACTAAAAATGACTAACCTCACTTATTTAAACAAATTTCCTGTTGTTAAGTGACTTCAACTGAATCATATTCAGTTTCAGCTATAAATATCAACATTTGATATATCAAGACTACGCTGATACAGAAATATGGAGTTTGACACAAGTCGGAATTTACAGTACATCTGCTTTTGGTTAGATTAGATTACAATGGAAACAGATGCACTTTATGGCTTTTGGAGTGCAACAAATGTTACTTGCTGACTTCTGAACCTGCAGGTCAGGAAAGGCTGACAAAGTAAAGGAACACTTTTTCAAATGTTTTGATTCAAAAATCAAAAATTTTGAAATGTATATTGTTTTTTTAATGTGACACTGTATGTCCTGTCATTCTGCTTTATGGTACTGTTTGTGGATCTGAAGGAAAGAAAATGCAGCCTGCATTATTACTTCAATTTTATTCCATTGTATTAATGTATTATTGCACTTTTATTTGTTGACACTTAAAAAAAGCACGCACTCACACACGCACACGCACGCACACACACACACGCACGCACACGCACACACACACACACACACACACACACACACACACACACTCATTGATAGCAACATCAATGAGTTATTACAGATTATTACACCTAAGGTACACTTTATTTTGGGGTAATGGGTACAACAAACAGTTTAAAAAAGAAAAGTCTAGGTTTTTTTATATATAAACATTTCTGAAGTATGTTTTGAAGTTTTTGATTTCATTTATATGAAAGTAACTGAATGTAATGCATTATAAAATTCACTTTATGTAAATAAAAGATTTTACATTTAAAATGTATTTTGGGACATTATTAGTATCACATTTTAAGTCCACTCCAGTTTAATCAATGTTTTCCTTCATCAAAGAATAGCTTGTTTTTTGGGCATTTACATCTGGTGAAAACAAATCAAATGTTACAGAGGGGAAAAAACATCAGACCTGAGCAGACAAGTATCAATTGCATTCGTTCTTTTTATTATTGGTCCAATATATCCAAAAAACTCATTTGAGGTAAAGATAAATTGCATCAAAACGACATCAATATACAAGCTTATTTATAATTACAACAAGATGTTATTAACATCCAAATGTACAATAAAAACTCTGAACGTAAACAGTCCACACTGGGGAGGAACAGAAATAAAAAGACAGAAGCTAGATTCACACGTTCATAAGTCGTTAACCTTTCATACAGGTTTGATTGATCAGGTTTATCCTGTGCTGCAAATCAGATTTTCTCTTCAAGTGTGAATCTATGTGAAGAACACAAAAGGAAAAGATGGGAACATTTGGCTTAGAAACATTTGATTTGTACATTAAAGAAAAACAAAAATCTCCCCTGACTCTCCCTTCTTTGCAGGCTTGAACAGTCACGGCCATCATCGTCCCCGTTTGCAGACGATGCAAAACCAAGTTTCCAAACTGAGATGTAAAATATGTCTCAACCAACTCGACTATTGTTATTTTTGGCAACTGCAGAAAAAAGCAATTTTAGTTTTTTGTTTAATGTTTTCAGCAGACATTTCTGCCAGGGGGTGGAGCTATAGTGCAAAAACAAATCAGCAGGTACACAGTATAAGATGGGGATTTTACAATGGCTATCAATAATAAGAAGTAAATTAGTCAGAGAACTTGTTGGGTTTCCAATGGGCATAAAAAAATAAAAATAAATTATTTCATTCCTCATTTGGGTTTACATTGTTAGTACAAATCTCCAAAATCCCTTCTGAAATATACTATTGTAACCTTCACATACTCATTGGGAACCCAAAAATGATCTCCTGCTTCTTTTATACAAAAATAGACTTAGCTGTACCATAATTCAACTGTACATTGGGGTATATTGAATATACAGTATATTGCCATTAGAACAAAAAGTCTGAATGATCCCTTGTGCATGCTCAGATCGGTAGTTACTTAATTTACATCAAATAGCAGGAAAGTCTACAGATGCATCGATGCCTGTTTTATTATTATTATTATTTTTTTAATCACTGCCACAATTCACAGTGCCCGGCTGTAAACAACAGATAAGTACTGATCTGATACAGAAGAATAAAACCGAACTTAAAGTGAAGTCGCTTTTTATGTCCTAACTTTTTTCATGTTTGCTACATTTCCTATTCCTTACTTCGATAAGTCAATGTATTAAAATGTACTTGGGTTACAGTGAACATTAGCTACTGGTTGTTTATGTTGCAAGAAAATGTGGAAATTGCCTTGTGGTGTTACCAAGTGCTGTGATGAAATGCTTAACAGATTTTGGAATGTAAAACTTTACAGTCTGATAAAACAACCTGGTTTAAAAGGTGCCCTGTGGAGTGTTCTTGTAAACTAACAAATTGATGTTCACATTCAGTTTTTCTAACTCATCCTTGAGATATAAACAAACTGGGGACACCCTCACAAAAACACTGCTCTTTACTGCTACTAGTGGTCAAAAACACTACAGGGTAGCTTTAACCTTTCCTGAATTCCTGCTGTTGCTACTTGAACAATAGTGACTCAGCCTGTGCGGTTGGAATAAAACATTTTTAAAAATATCTTTAATTATGGAGTATGTTCATATAAGTTGTGGCAATAAACGTAAGGATGGAAAATGTGGAAAGTTAGCTAATTATAATGGAACTGTTCTTTAAAGCAGTAATTTGGAGATTAAAAAAATATGGGTCTTCTTCTAAAGTATATGTGAAAAAACAAACAATACAGAAGGTTTGTTTTGATTTCTAAACTCCTCTGACTCTGTCTCTTCATGGGGGATTTGATTTTGGTACAAATACAGTAGTTCAGCATCAGTGCATCCGTAGTACTACCTGCTGTAGCTTCTCCCTTCTCTCCATGTTGTTGGGTGCATTAAAAATGGCTAAATTAAAAAAATGAAGTTTTCTTCATGTGTCACCTCTTTTACTTCTGGTAGTAAGTAAGAAGAAACAGTAGCTGCTTCGTGTTTTTAAAGCTCAAGAGAAGAACATGAAAGACGAAAAAAAAAAAAAACTGACAAAAGTACTGAAACAAGCTTGCAAGCAGTCACTTCCTCTCATCGCTGTTTTACAGCACTCACATTTGGCTACACTGAGGATAAGCTCAGTAATGTGACAGCAGTGTGAGGGCCATTCAAAGACAATTGGACTAAAGGACATCAAAAAAACAACTAAAACAATGGAGATATTTCTGTTTTTAACAAAGCCTCTTAGAACTCAGACCTGAAATAGTCAAATCAGAACCTTATTTCTGAAAAATCCTGTCAATAAATGAAATTATGCTAAAGAAACTCTAAAGAAACTATCATTACATTTGTTGGAAAATGTTTATGAGGCTGCAACACTGGGAACATGCCACAAATGAACAGAAGTTGAAATCAGTGTCTTTATAAATGTGGTTCTGATGATGATGATGTCCCTGACTGAGTCTGCCCTGGTCATCACTGGTCGAGTTCTCGCTACTTTATGCTGAGTGTAATGAGCTAGAAGTACGGCTGAGGACGGAGGGAATAAGAATCACAGGAATTAAATTCAAATTAGCCAGGATATTTAAGGAAATAACGATAAGCTGCATCCATCCTCTGGGGTTGTAAGCCATTTTGGGAATAGAAAATCAGTCAATGAAGTGGGTACAGCAAAGCTTATTCATTGATGTATAACAGAACATTCCATATTCTTTTAAGGCAAGGTCACATCCGCAACATTTTGAGCCCAAAACAACAAAAAAAGAGGAACCAAGCGTGGCGCAAAACCGCTATTAGTTATATGTGCTAGAGTGCTACTACATCTTCTTAAAAAAAGTTTCCCATGAGTCACAGGTGAGCAGACGAGGTCATGTCGTCAAACTGAGAGGGTTCACCAGAACAAATCGGCAAATTAGTTCCACATTACTGAGTCATTTAGTCTCATACCAAATAGTTTACTTAAAACAAGTGGCTTCAGCTTTTAAAGTAAAGAGTGTGTCACTTCAGAATGTAGTTTTTGCAATGTTTGGCTCTGACCTGAAGAGTGTTCACGAAACGCTTTTGAGCACCGGTTTATCCAACTCCTCAGGTGTTTACATGGCACAGCAGAGATTTCCCAGAAGCCTCAATGTTCTTTGCTCCTCTGCTGACCAGCGGCAACAAGACGTTTAACTTATTTCAGGTCAGAGACTTACTCTTCTTAAAACAAGACACAAATGTTGTTAATGGGGTGTGATAATGCCACATTCCCAATGTCGTTTGTTTTTTTTAGAAAGCTTCTATAAATGACTGTCACTGAGGAAAAACTAAACTAACTTGACTAAAAAGCTGACACCTGATTGTTGTCATTTGTTTATAGAGAATAAATTACAGTGTGTCTTCACCTTCAATTCCAACTGTGTGCTTTTCATTGAATAAATCCGCCTGGTATGCCCTTCAGCATCCTCTACTGAGTTAAAGCTTGAAGAAGAGACATGACATCCCTACAGCATGTATAAATGGCAGTGGTAAAAACAATAAAATAAAGAAGAAAAAACATGTGATATCAAGAGAATCAAACACACTGTTAAACCACCAGTTTCAAAAGGAATGAAAACTATGAGCAGTTTAACCACCGGGTGGTGCTGCCACACTGCACTCAAAACACAACCGTATAACCAAACCTGCTGAGTGGATCTGTGCTTAGCTTCATGGTGTAAAAACACAAAATCACCTCCAACAAAAGCCACTTCCCTGATAAAGGGAACGCTTGTGTCATCACTGTTAAATGCAGCTTTGCTTCAGTTCTATTTATCTGTAAGGATCAAAAACGCAAAGTTTCCCTTTTAGATAATCATTACAGGCTTTGACTGAGCTCTGTTGCTACACCTGCTCTTTCTCCATCCATATTTTACTTTGAATACAAAGTGTCTACGAAGTGATTTTTTTTTTATCACAACAGCAGTTGCAGGGGAAAAAGGAAAACTCTAAAGTTCAGGAACTTTAGGGAAATGATTAACAGTAATGGCAAGTATAAGAAGTTATGGGGCTGAAACATGCAAAAATAACGGGTACGGTCCTTTAAATTTACAGCCAATATGATGCCCTTAAGAGATGAAAGAGAATTTAATGTTTAATAATGTTCCAGTGGAGGGGTTTTAGTGTTCCATTGTTAGAGGTTTTTACAATGGGACACAGAATAAAAGATCTTGGGGATGCTCTGAATGCTTCATACTTCATACGCCCACGCAAAAATATTATTATCTTATTGGTTTTCTGCAATACTAAAGACTTATCCTTCACTTCCGCTTGGCTCAACATGAACATGGAGAGAACAGACTGAAAACTCTCTGAGACTGTGGTTAAATAAACACAAGCAGCATTGGCAACTCACTGTTAATTGGAAATATGAAGTAGAAAAAGTCAATAAGAACGACAACAAAAGAACAAAAACAAAAGCAAAATGTCTGTACATAGTAGGCCTCTCCTCTTCACCCGCTGTCCTTGAACGCACCATTCGTTACCTCCTTCGCAGGTCAGATCTCTGAGCGAGACGACTCCCCCTCCGTACAATCGTCTCACAGGAGAACAGGGGCAGAGTCCGGCAGTTCAAATCTGCTGCCCGGGTTGGTCCTTTTCCTTGGCATGAGAGAGTGTGTCATACAGAGAACGGGGGGGGACGGGGACATGAGGAGGTGTTTCAGTTCGTCTCACTCGTTTTGTCCTCAGTCTGTTTGTCCTGGAGGAGAGTTATGAGCGACTCCCACGCTGCCTGGCACTGCAGAGGAAGAAGATGGATGAAGACGGTCGACGTAGGGGGAAAGAAAATGAGGTTGAAGGGAAAGAGGGAGATGGAGGGATACAAGAGAAATATTTTTAAAGCGATAATCTGGAGAAGACTGATGAAAATACAGTATGAATCTGGTTTTGCACATTCCTGCACAAACATTCATTTTTACATATTGTACATTTTATTTATAGTTTTTTTTTATATTTTTTATTATAAGTATTTCTATTTTATATTTCCGTTTCTTGACGTTTGCAGTACTTTTTTATTTTCTTATTTCCTCTTACTATTTGTATTGCTATGCACAAAAACACAGAGGCAAATTCCATGTGAAATCTTACTTGGCAATAAACCTGATTTTTGTTCTCACTATTGCCAGTAATGAAGAGAGGCCAGCTTTCTGTTGCCTCGCTCTGTCTGTGATCACTTACTTTGCGTTTCAAGGTCGCTAGCTCGACCCTCGGACTGGGAGAGTAATTGGAAAAGTATTGCCACCTAAGGTGTCTTTGAGCAAAGACTTTAACTCTTTATTGCTTCAGTTGATCAGACTGTTGTTGTAAACAGACAGCTGATATCAGCTCAGCTAGCGCTGCGTTGGATCTGCTCCCAAAACTCAGCTTACTGCACACACTAGATTATTTATCAGTACTGACTTAAAGCTATGTGTTAACAAGTATAAATACCTGTGGTCTGAAATAAAGTTGATTGATTGCCGATGACTAGGGCAGGGTATCAAACTCAATTGCCCCTGCAGTACTGAGTACTGAAAACATATTCCATGATCAGATATTTCTTGATGTGAATAATAATGCTTTTAATTTCATGTTAAATCAATGATGTATTTCAGAAATTTGGCTTATTGGATTAAATTAACGTTTGTACGGAAACATGTTTAAAAAAAGTAGAATTTTGGTATCTCATCTATTGTAATGGGACCAGTATCAACATTTTTCTAATATAGTATTTCAATCACCATCTTCTCCATTGACACTTTACCTAACCAGCATCTCCTTTGTCATAATTTTGTCGGCTCAGAAAAATAACCGTTGACATCTGTGCTATGGCCCACCTCTGCTCTCCCCGCTAAGCTGCCCTAATCACACTTAGAGTAATGTGAGGGCTCCAAACGCCACCTGAGGAATGGGACAGCACGTTGTGAAATCATATCTGTTCAGCTAAGTGTGAGGCTGATATTTCACACTGTTTATCTGAATGCAGTAATGAACTTTGGAAAGTGTTCAGAAAGGGCTCAAAAAGGCCCACGATGGAGCCTCTGAGCATTCGCATCTATGTGTGAATACATCCTAACAGGATACAGCGTAGAAAAACACTTAGATGGATGATCACAGGACAATTCAATCTTCCTGCAGAGATTTAAAGTCCTGCAGTGTTTCTAAGCCGTTAGCCGGCATACCTTTTCATAGTGGTTGATGTTTTTGTCGGCCATGCCCGTAAGAAGCTGCTTGAAGTCTTGTCTCTTGTTGCTCTGCCAGCGCTCCCAGTCAGCCTTCAGGTCAGCGTTGAAACACTCCACTTTGTCCTGGCACTTCTCTACCTCCACTGGCATCTACGGCGACACAGAGAGAACTATAGCTACAGGGGCCTTCAGGGGATATAATACAAGACTACAGGGTACAGGATTACAACCACGGGGGTTTAGGTGGTGCAGAAGTTTTTTGAGGGGAGGGTTGTATTAGAGAAATTTAATAAGTAGCAGAATATTTTCACCAATTCTCCCTCTTAAATCCTGAGAATCTTTCTTTGTGGAGTTAGCGTGGACAAAAGATATCCAAGTAATCATATCAGCACCAACAGCTTTTATTTTGAAGAGAAGAGAATGTAATACACATTATCTGGTTAAAACACAGGTCAAATGGTTACATTGGGGACAATTTAGGGTTAGAAAGTATTACAGTGAAATAAGTGAGCTACACTCCTGCAAATGGCAAGAGTAGACAGCAATCTGAAAGGTTCCATGTGAGAGAGGAACTTCAGGTTCAGATCAGAGGAAGGAGGAGGCTTACTGGCGTTCTGTCCTCCTGCTTGCGCAATATGGCTGCTTCAAGTCGGCCCTCATACTCCGCCTGGGTCTGGTCTCGCTTCCTCAAAACATTCTGTGATTAATCAGAAAACATCAGCCGTTTTGTATCGCACTGTTAGTGTGACGTTAACGAATACTGTAACATTCATGCATGTGAAAAAATATTAAACGGAAAAGACATGCTGAATCAGGAGCTCGGTGAGGACAGGACATGACACATGCAAAATCTCAGATGCCATTTCCTCTTCTCGGGGTCAAAGGTGACTCAGCTAAAGAAAGCTGGGTCCCAAACTACCATACAAACTATACACTAATGCTAAGCAGTTTTTTTTTTAGTATGTAGCATATTCACACCGGAAAACAGAGAGAAAATGAAGTATACTCAAACCAGACCTTCATGGACTCTATGTAGAGGATGTACTCTCGAAGTACTGGCAGGAAGTCCTGGCTCATGTTCTCACTCTGCTCATCAAGCGCTCCGCAGCACGTCGTCACACAGCCGGCCACGCCCTCCAGGGGGCGCTGCAGCTCATCCTCAGAGGCTGCCCAGTTGGAGTATACAGTGCCATACTCGCGCAGCTCTGTCAGGTACTCTAGTGGGGGAAAAATAAAAAATAAAAAAGGGGGGGGGGTTAGACAGACAATTGCGGTATTTTTCATACTTCTTCTTAATGAGCGGTGGATATTTTGTATCTAGTATCTAGTTTGAGCTGCTAATACTCTGGAACTACACAAGACAGGCAATACAGAAGGATCACCATATTCAACTACAAAATCTATATTTGTAAATTACACATGAGAGAGGGTGAAGGCTCAATCCCAGGCTGCTAAGTCAAGCATGCATGGCATTTGCTTTTTTACATTCTCTGTCAGCTCATAGGCCTTCATGATCTACAATTCTCTGAATGTTCATCGTATCTCCTCCGATATGGAAACAAGCACCTTTCTAAAGCCCAGAACAGATGGTGACAACTACCATTTCACACAGCAGATCGGCAGGTATTTACAGGATCACTAGTCATGCATGAGCGAGGCATGCGCTTATCAACCATGCACCCTTCAAGGCCCAAAGGTCTGTGGGTTTCTTTCCAAACCAAACACAACAGCACTGAGTGGGTCAATACAGCAGATAAATCCGGCTAAAGACTGAACCATTTCATGACATAAGCTAACCACAACCACACTGAAGCATATGAAGATAGATTCCAGTAAGCAGGTCTACTGAGAGAGGAAGTAGAGTATGAGGACTACTACTTGAGGCTGTGTTGCAAGCAGCACACACACCACAAAATGTTGCTTCCTGGTGCCATTTTTGGAAGTAAATGGCCTCAGCTCAAACTGAATTCCCTTTAATACCATTTTCAATGTAATAATTTTCTCATTTGTTAAGTATTTTAAGCCTCTCTTTCTTGTCCAATTACAAGAAATCAATACACTGGTTTATAACCATTAGTGAGCCCACTGGGTCCTCTATAACATGACTCAACATGACTTTATAACTTCAGTCTAATACCCGACTGCTCTTTGAGGATCCTCTGAGCGATGCGGTCGATGGTTCCCAGTTTCTGGGTGAAGGTGTCCAGGTATTCTCCCATGGCGCAGAACTCCGCTGGCCGCGCCCGAAGCTTGTAGCCTCCGGCCACGTGCTTCACGGACTCGCCCACCTTGGTCAGCAGGGCCAGACCCTGACGCTTGTTCAGGTCCTGGAGACACACAGTGACAACGGGCACATGGTGTTGAGAAATTACCTTGTTTATATGGTTAAATATTTAATCCTAAGTAATAATGTAATCCACTGATGTTAAAAATGTACGTGCTGAAAGTGTCACCTGCCCTCAGCTACTTCTGTTGTTTTATCACCTGTAGTGTTTCATCACACAACACGCATTTTTCGATTCGATACTGTTCTATTATGCTTATGCCCTACTTTCTTTCTTTAACTTCCTTCTGAGTCTAATTATTTTACTGCTGCAACAACCTAATTTCCCCACAGGGATCAATAAAGTCTTGTCTTGTGTCTGGGGTACTTAGAGACAAAATTTGTGACTGATGGCAGCTGGAGAAAACACACACACACACACACACACACACACACACACACACACACACACACACACACACACACACACACACACACACACACACACACACACACACACACACACACACACACACACGTAAGGAAGCAAAAGCCCAGTATTTTGTAGTAGTGTAGTTTACTGAAAGAGCTGCTGAAGAGCACCGTTTTCTGTTTGCTTTAAAAACATACTGCATGAAATGGATTGCATGCAAGCATGTGACATGAAAAGCACCCACTGTCCACCACAGTTTATAACCCTCAGACAGAGAGAGAGCGAGCCTGAATTTGTCTGTGTGTTGGCCATGGTGAGCAATGAGGACATCAATTCTAATAAAAGGACAAAAATGTCCCTGAACTTCCCACTGCTGGGTTGTCTTACCTTGGCAGAAAGGAAAGCGTTTAGATGTGGGTTGAAGGACAGGACGGGGTGGTCGGCAACTCGCTTCAGGAACTTGTCCAGAGCTTTCATCCTGGTCTCCACAAACTCCTCCGAAAAACGATCGACCACGCCCTTCATCACGAACTTCTCTGGCAAGGGCTGGAGACGGAGAGAGATAGGGAGGAGGAAGAAGCAGAGTAGAGTGTAAATTAAGCTTTTCTCCAAAAAAAAAAGCAGGATGGTACGAAGGTTTGTGTCATGGCTCGTTCGACCTACAGGGATGAGGTGGGTCGGCTGGCTGTCCTCCAACTTGGTCCTCAGCCAGTCAAAGTCCTGGTAGCGCCGTCGCACGCAGTACTCCGGCAGGTCAAACTCTATCCGCGTTGTCTGAAGAAAAACACACACACACACACACACACACACATTTGCTGTGTTACCTAGTAGGATACAGTATTTAAAAACCCACTAAACTAAACATGAAATTACAGTTCATAAACGTTCATACATACTAGTAGAATTCATATGTGTACATTAGACTGGAGGGTTGCCATATCTCTGATTTAGGATTACTTCTTATCGACCTTGAAATATAGCTGACAATACACACACCCAAACACACACTATCTCTCTCTGATAATACGGTGTTAAGAGATGCGCCCCCCACATGCTCTCAATTAACACTTTCATATTGGGCTGTGATATTTGTCTAGGGCCTCTGAGCTGAAGCACATAGCAACTGTCGCCATGACGCCACCCAACGGCTCCTGGCAGCGTCACGCCCCCCCCAAATCTGTTTCTATCATTACACGATGGAAAGGCAGCCAAAGATACGATTCTCTGCTGGAGGTCGGAACAAATTAAGTTCTGTCAGGCAAGAGCGGTGGCTGTTTACCAGCAGAGAGATTTGAAGGTTGGAACTGAGAATCCACCTGATAAACACGATTCAGTGACTACATCTCTGGAATATACGTGTTTCATGGGAAAGTTGACATGTGTTTTCCTAACCTAATCTGTTCCATCGCGCCTATGTGGTCTTGTGATACCAGACGATGGGGGATCTCAGCACCTACCAACAGTCTGGAGATTTCTAAATGCAAAGTAAGTGGTTGATCGGCTGCTAACAAACTCCCCTTACTTCTGACTACCGCCTGAAACAATGCTCTCCCCCCATTCTCCTCTGTAGTGAAACAAACTGAATCACCTTGTAACACAGAGAGAACTGAAAATGTAACATTATATAGTATGACACTGTTTACAAACACACAGCTTCTGCATGTCAGCACCACGTCTTTGCCCTAAAGACTATTGGTTGGTTCTGCAATGCATTTTCTAACTCTCTCCTTGTTTCCACCCAGTTTTAGCAACAAAAGCCAGAAGAAAGTCCTCAGTCTCTGTTGAGTGAGGCGTTTAGAGACTGGCTTGTTAGTCTACCCCTAGGATACATTCTCTGCATTGGGATGTCTGTGGTTCCAAACTGCTGCTGCTATTACTTTTGTTTTCTGTAGGTGGCAAAGGTTGGCACTGTGCAGAACTGGTCTGACAATGCCTGAACCCCGCCCCCCCCCCTTGTAGAGAATCTGCAGCCTGCTTAATGTGAGTGAGTTTGTGAGTTACAAGCCATACTATAAGGTGGTTTACCCGTAAAAATGTCAGAATTTAGGATACTCCTATTTTATGACTATGTTTTATGCTCTTGAAGGTGTCCTGTGGAGTTTTATTGTAGACAAACTTAGATCCAGTGTTTCTCCCCAAAACGCATTGTGTGTGTTCCTAACAAATGTGCTGAGTAAATTTCCTTCATGATAAAAGATTTCCTCACTGATATTTAGAAGAATTTGAAACCTTCATTGTTTACACCCATGTTTGCTAGTCTGCCTTTGTTGGCGCACTGCTATGTTTCTTGGCGTGTTACCGCCACAAACTGTCAGTGGAATAGCGTGAACAATCGTGCATCACGTACATGTGCATCTTAATGTGCTTAAGATACAAACAAAACAGGGAGCCACTCGTTAAAGCATTGCTCCATAGCGCTAGTGATCAAAAGCTCCACAGGGGACCTTATTTACATCTTCTATTCTGGTAGTTTTGCATGTTTTATCCCAATAAATACTATTTGTGTGTAATAAAATTAAGTAAAAAGCTGCAGTGCAACCAGACATGGATGTTGAGGAACATATGATATAAAAATTGAAGTTTCTTACATCAGAAAACATTGTTTCAGCCAGCAATTAGCAGAAACTTGCCTGAACACATCACAAAGGAGTGTTTTTAAAATAATAATGAAATGCAACAAAACATAACAAGTAATACGAGGATTGAATGTTCACTATAACGGATTATCTCCAAGTAGTGCAGGTTTAGCAGTAACTGTAAGTATACATGATTGGTAGGTGGGTTAAAACATGCTAAACAACCACAATAATGCCATTAGATACAAGTGTAATAAAGCCCTACTGTTCAAAGAAAACCAGGTGGACAGTGTTACCATGACACCAGCCAATAGCAGACCTTGGTGGAGACTCTGTAGGTGATGTAGGTCTCCATGGTGGAGACATGCTTCTTTGGGTCGTCAACTGTGACAAAAAGGTCGCGGGTTTCTGTGGAGGCGTAGAGGTCCCGGACGTCTGCTTCCAGGTCGTCGTCCAGCTGCAGCCTGTTGAACAGCGAGGATGCGGAGGCGGGACTCGACGTGTCGACTGGCGTGCCGTTGGTCAGCCCGGCTTCCTGCGTGGACAGAGACAGAGAACGATGGCATCAAATTCAGACGCTGCAATGGGGAAACGCGTCAAACAAAGAAGTGATAGATTGATGCTCGTGGTGATGCAGTTGTTTCTGTCAATGGGGCTCTTGTTGAGGCCGCTGCTACGTACACACCCCACATCATCTGACACTTGTCTTTCTAATTGAATGATAGAGGAAAGAGAAATGGAGCATTTGTGGACACTTCCTTAATATGAAAAAAATCCAACTGCAGGGAAACTTTGGCTAGTTATACCATATGCAGGTTGACAAAAGAATACATTTTATTTTATTATAAGAAAAAAAATTATATTATAAGAAAACACTGGGGGGTTTTTGTGCCATGAACAGATGATGACTATTACTTTATAAAGTGTCCTTAATGGCATCCTCCCACTTTCTGGATCTATAAGTATCTGGATTATTTTCAAGCTGATGCAAAACTATTTATTCACTGGTATTCACAAATGACATCCTTCCACAGGTACGTTGGTGTAAAATACATGCTCGCTCTAGCACTTTCAGTTTATCAGTAGAGACAACAAATGTCCCCTGTATGTTCCATCCAAACACAGCAAGAGAGTCTCTCTACAAAAAGGCAAATAACAGGACAAAAGCGGAGGCTGCGGAAAGTGTCTCCTCAAATGAAGAGTCCAATCTGTTTATTTTGGACCTGTTATTATTAGACTAAAGAGAATTACATGGATCTTTTTGTGCAAGAGGGCTGCATCACCAGAAGTGTTGTGAAAATAAAACTAACCAACCAAATCAAAAAAAAACATCATGCCTCACATGAGGAAGGAACTACTTTCTTCCTGAAACACGTTAAGGTGTGTGTGGGAAAAACAGAGAAGCTAATGTTCAACCTAAATCACTTTTTTTCTGCCACACACACACTTTGCACAAATTGCCTGAAGTGAGCGTGTGTGTGTGAAGTCTCAATTCAATCAGTCAAAAAAGTGCTACCCCCACACACAGACTTTGCAACTCCATACATTGACCACACACACTTTTTCCTCACACCTCTCTCTCTCTCTGCTACTGTACACACACACACACACACACACACACACACACACACACACACACACACACACACACACACACACACACACACACACACACACACACACACACACACACACACACACACAGCAACGCTGCAGACATTTTAAGTGCTCTTTTTTTACACTGTGGTGCTAACCTGCACTGGTAATCACAGTTCAGATAATTGCATTGCATTGCATCATTACACCGCTGTGAATGAACAACCAGGCCACCGCAACGCAGACACGCTCAGGCAGACAGCGAGGAAGAATCTGGAGATATTACACTGGGAACCAGATCTGTTTTTAATACAGCTGAGTTGGGAGAGGTATGGATGTAATAATCAATATTGTGACACAGGAATGGACCTAATGTGGAGTTGTGCTTAGTGTAATACTGTGATAGAGCTTAAATGTTTGCATTTGTTCTTCATATTTGACAGGGTGAAAAATATTCAAGCCGTTGGTCATCTAATAACAAAAACAATAGTTGTGTTCAAGTGTCCCAGTAAGTCATGACAATGTGACGGTGACCCAGCATGCACAACAGGGCTTCTCAATCCGCACCGGGATCCTGGAACAGAAGCAGCAGTATGGAACTCAGCCATTATTTATTTTGCCATTTACACCTGTGTGTTTCCTACTGTGACAAGTTCAAATATCTCCTGTGAAAGAATTATTAAATGACACCAACCTCTACTTAAGGATATGATTGAATTTAGTTGCAAACACTAAAAAGCATACCCAAAACACATATACCTATGTTACTGATACTGTGGGACCGAGTCAAAAATGTCACAATTAGTCATGAACTGCAAATTCCAGCTCTTCAAAAATGTCTGTGTAACTGCTGTGAAGAAACTAAGACTGTACGCTCTGGAGGAACAAAAGTAATTTTAAAAAATAACTTCAGAGCATTATACTCATGGAAGATATAAAAAAATAGATACATATTTTAAATATTTTATTCGATTTATTTTCATTTTAATAAGAAGAAATGTTTATAAATGATAAATGTGCAACTGGATCTGGATTTCCATTAAAAAATCCCAAGGTTAGAGACAATCATGGGATACACTGTACGTGAAGTATACTACCTCATTAAACAATAGAAAAAATAAATAAATAAATAAATCTACACATGGATCCTGATCCACGCTGAAAACAAGTCACTTATTCTCTGGCACAAGATTTTCATTAGAGTCTATTGAAATGTGTTGACAGACGTTCCCAGGACCAGAACCATTACTGAACCTCCTTAGTGGTGGGTGTAAACAGGAGAACTCTTACAGGCATTACATTAATTAATTTGATTTGTGTGGAGGGTTTGTTTTTATTTTGCCTCCGGGTATTCCTGGATGAAATAAAAATGGAAACGGACAGTACATTACCATGCAGAGTAACCCTTGTTGCAAGGAGGCATCATAGCATCTCCTGTTGGCAATAATTAACTGCAACACCAAAGTGGTTGCTAAGCCTGTTACTCCTCAATAAAACAGCAGGAAGAATAAAAAGCTTTGGGATTTGTTTGCTTGGTCCATCGTTGTTTACACAGCACACCAAGGCAGTAATGATGTCATGTCCCCAGTTAGAAAGTGGAATGAGCGTAATCTGTTTTCTAACCAAAATGTGTGTATAATATCAATGGTGTACACACATTTCTCATACTGTAGTAACCTTTGTGTGTGTGTGTGTGTGTGTGTGTGTGTGTGTGTGTGTGTGTTTATGTGTGCATTACTAAGACCATACTGTCTCTGTTTTCTTTTTTTTTCTGTTTGTTTTGAATGCTTGTATGGTTTGGTTGCTGTATTGTAATAAAAAGATAAGATTTATTACCTGCAGTTAGCTGGGGCGACTGTATGACACTGTATTTTGGTTTTAGGTTGTTGTTTTTTTTAAATCTTTCATGCACCAGAGATTAAGTGGCAAACTCAACCGCTTCAGGCTCAACACTAAACTCTAGTCATGGGCAGTGAACCTTGAATGCGAACTAAAATAATGAACATTAACCAAAAGAGGCGTTGATGAGTGTTCATGCTGATTTCTCCATTAAACTTCCTTTACTTTGCTACTTCTCACTTGATGGATTTATCCGTAAACACTGGTGCCAGCCTGAGAGCAGGTCGGTGTGTGGACTTTAGTTTGGTTAACCGTCCTCTCTACATCCCCCTCAGCTGTTTTCCAACCGGTGTCGGTACAGCCCCAGCAGACCCGTTACCTTGTCCCCACCGACGTTGACGGTGACTGAGAGCGGCTCCTCGGCGGCGGACAGCGGGTGAAGGATCTCCGCGATGGGCTTCTGCCCCGAGCTGGCCAGGCCTCTCGGAGCCCCGACACTCATCCTGCTGGAGGCGGGAAGACGTGGCCGGGTGTCGGGGGTAACGGCTGTCCGGTTCTCCGCGGCTGATACGGTGAGTGTGGACAGAGGGAGGCTTCTTTCTCCGTTCGGGGTCTCCTCAGTTGAGATGTTACACCCGCTGGTTGGTCACAACTGTCAGCTGACTTCCACTGCGCAGCTCCGGACGTTAAACTACACGAACCCGGATGTAAACATATGCGTCACGTGACAAGGAGCAGCCAATGAAACGCTAAAGATCGTCTATTGAGAGGATCGCTGAACTGCTACTGAAACTACAAACCCTGCTCGTTTTTTTAACCAAGTTTATTAGTTTGTTACACTCTTTAATTATACAGGCTATGGCAGTGTTTCTCAAACTTTATTTTACCTATATTAATTATACGGTAATTTATTCAAGAACCATTGCTTATTAATGTATTTTATTGTTAGGAAATGTCATCATTTGTTAGCCTTCACGTTGTCTTAGTTCATGCACGTTTTGGGTTCCGCAAATATGAGCAGAGAGAGACCTCTTCTCTTTTACTCCTATCTATCCATCCTACCCAACGTTAACTGAGAAACCGGTACAGGGTCTCCAGAGGCAAAATGCCACCGACCGACCGAGTTTTATTGTTATTTTAAACTTTCAGTCACTGTTTCATTGGTGTACAACAGCAAGGTCTTCGTCATTTATCCAGCTCAAGTTTGAGTTACATTTATCATCCGAGGGGACTTTTATCGTTGTCTGTTATCCACCGGTGCAACATTAGCTGGGCGGAAGGAAACACAGATACAATTGAAGCCCAACCATTAATATAGGCTAGCTAATCGTTTCTGTAGTTTGTTATTTTTACCTGCCTCTTCCTACTGACACCGACATGGCTACTAATCCCCCAGGACAAGGTAATTATTTTGTTTAGGGGCAAATTATATTGGTAGTTGAAGTTCTTTTGTCTTTATCAATGTGTAACCGGGTCCAGGGGCGTAGCTACAAATCCTGGACCCCCTGAAAGCATTTTTGCTCTGGGGTTCCTCTTATAGCTAACTAGCTAATTCAAATTGTATAACTTCTGTCACTTTCCTCTCAAACAGTGACAATATAGAAAGTGATGATCATTTAAAAAAATCTACAGGATGTGATGCAGGGAAGCTGAATGAAATCTAGTTACTAACATTATATAAAGGGAGGGCAAAAATACTGTTTAAGTCAAATGTCAGTCTAATCCTACACATTCTTGTCTGTAAAGCATTAAATAACTTTATAACATTAAACATTATCTTCTTTATTACCTCTTCAGTGTATGTTGATTAACAATCATCTGCGTTTACTCAAAATGTGGCCCTTCATTAGATGAAGTAAGTGATGTTAACCAATATATTTTTATTTTTCATCCCTCTGTCTTTCCCTTTTGTCTTTCTGTCTCTTCATCTTCTTTTGGTTTTATCCATCCAGCCGTCCCGAACAAGACACGGGTGGCGATCCTGGCCGAGCTGGAGAAGGAGAGGAGACGGTTGATGCAGAGTCAGACCATGAACACACCTGGAGCCAGGTAGGGATAGTGCACAGCCACAGAGGGTAACAGGAGTTTTCCCTTAATTAAAGACTTAGAGAAACCTTTTTTATGGAGGAAATTAAAGTTTTGATATGATATGATCATATGATGATACATATATCAATAGTATATATCTATATATATATATATATATATATATATATATATATATAAGATTGTATTGTCAGTAAATCTTGAATTACACATTAACATTATAAACAATATATATATATTTTACCTTGCCCCCGCCTCCCTCTCACCCTGTAGCATCTCGCTGTCCAGACCGAGTCTAAAGGAGTTCAGGGACAACGCAGAGCAGCAGCACATCGCTGCCCAGCAGAAAGCTGCCCTGCAGGTGAGACAGACACAAACACAAATGCAACACGGTAATAAGCACAACAATTACTGTTAATGCTAATTCATTAGATGAGAAATAAATCCATCCTCATTCAAAGTAACTACGTCTTATGTTGATTATTAAATCATAGTGGAACATAATGTTAGTCAGTAAATGTCCAGTTAGGTTTTCAATCAGGGTTAGTGAGTTTTCCTGTGGTCAGCAAGCTGAAGTCCGAGGTCTGAAAATCATTATTTGAGAGAGAGAGAGAGGTGTTTCAAGGCAACTTAAAAAATTTCACAGAAGTATAATGAGACTCAAAAATCACTTTATCATACACAAAAAAAAAAACACCTACTACATTCTCTACATAAACTAAAAATGGGTTGTTGTTTTCTCCATGGCTGCTGTACTGTGAGTTTTCTGTTATTCTGTAAAGACTCTGTTCACCCTGTTTACTCTTATTCAGTCTTTTGCCGTGAGTGACATGAGAAGATTGATACCACTCTCTTGCCTCTAAGGCCAGCAGGCAGCTAGCTTGGCTTAGTTTAGGGGACATAATCTGTCTACCAGTACCTCTAAAGACACGTTATATCTTGTTTGTTTAATCAATACGATTATCAAATGGTGATTGTCTGTAGGAACTCCTCATACAAACCTCTGTCTTAACTGTGTTTTCTCTTACAGCACGCACACGCACACTCTTCAGGCTTCTTCATCACTCAGGACTCCTCGTTCGGGAACCTCATCCTCCCTGTCATTCCACGCCTGGAGCCGGAGTCTTGACACCCCCGCCTCCTGCTGCCCGGCGTGAGACAAAGCTTTGAAACAACATACATGCACATCAAACCCTCGTCTCTCCCAGCTTCCTCTTTTAAGTCTGTGATTAATGGACAGTTGTTTGTCATGTTGCAAACTATCTCAGGGGAGTGTGAATTTATCATTTTTACATTTTCCAGACTAACAAGCTAGCTGCTGAATTTAGAAAAGCTTTCAAAACAGTCTGAGGAAAAGTTCCAGATGGCTGTGAAACATCCTGTGAAGTCATCCAGGGACTAAAAACAAATGTTTCACTGCGCTAATCACATGGATTCCCATAAAGTGCACATTTTGTCAGGTTTTTTACATTTGTAATGGATTTGTATCGATATGTGGAAATAAAATTGTTACATTCAGTTGTATTTATACTGAATTGCATTTTTATTTTGCAAATATAAAGAAAGAGGACAGAAGGTCTGGATGCGTAGTCCATGGCTATGTTCACATGACAGGGTTTTATGACCAGTTCAGAATTTTCCTTTCTACTTCTGATCTTGACTGTTCACATCCATGTTTTATAGTGATCCATATTCTGCGTAAACGTGAACAGACATCTGTTTGGAAAGCCTATATTTATTAAAGGCGAACATTTTAGTTTTTTTTATGTCACAGTGTACCTGATGAAGGTATATTTTTCCCTCTCTAAAGAAGACTTGCTTGACTTCATAATGCTCACTGTTTTTAGCGGTTTATTGTAAAACAGTGGTTGGCAGCACACAAAACAACACATGCAACAGTATATTACTATGCATAAAAAACATTTTTTGAGTCACTGAAACTTGAATACAAAAAATCCCTCATTGAGTATGATCATATAATATAATAATAATATACTATATACTATACTATACTGTAACTGTAGTGCTCTGAGTGACCACCACAGAATGAACCAATTAGTCATTATAAATAATTTTTAATTCAAAAGTTGAAACTTGATTATAATGAATTCTGAGCTGACATGAATGCAGCATAAATTAATGGTTTGATGACAGTTCTGGAGAATTGAAGAAGTACTTATTCTTTCCAGAGTCACAACACTGGACAGATGTTTCACAACCGTACAAGGAGAAATCCACTTACCATAAGAGGCATAAAGACTCATTTCTACATCCAAAGAAACAGAAATGTGGCCAGCTACAAGATCGGACGTACATGATTGTACGCATTGTGAAAAAGTTGGTACAACAACCTTGCAATATAATTTCTGTAATATGTTGAGAACCACAGAGAGAATCCCATGATGCTGTGTTTTCTGTTTGTGTTGTCTTTTTACGAGTACAAGAAGTGTACATTGTAGGCCTCTGATTGAGTCAGCAAACTATCTGTTTGTCACTTTGATACGATGGGCAGCAGTTCGCCTTTTGCCTTCATCGTTTTAATTTTGGCCTTAATGTTGTCATCCATCGCCTGTCGACAGCGGTGGGAATAATGTGCCAGCGTCTCCTCCTTCTCGTCCCACGGTGCCAGTGCATGAAACACCTCCGGAGCGCCCAGGCTGAGCTCTGCTATGGCCGCTGTACGGGAGATGGTGTTGCGGTCCACACCGACCCGGTCAAAGGCCACCTTCATGGAAACGCCGCGGCGAAACTCTTTGAGGGCAGTCATGTAGCGCGCTATCACACCCACCACGTTTTTCACTGGAGAGGAGACGTACAGGGACAGTGAGAGACACACCAGCGCAAACAAAAAGCAGATGAATGCAATATTTAGTAATAACCATACATTCTACTCTATGGGTGCTTATAACCACAGTATGACCTTTGTGTTACAGTGTGGTTTATCTTCCTCATTACATCATGTCCTTACTCCTGACTCGGGTGTTTTCTCCGTCCCGGCTCCTCTTGCTCTTTGGGATCCGGTGGAGCTTCAGAGGGTGAAGCTCCATTTCCTCAAATGAGTCAAACAGCGTCTGCGAATCAGAACCAGCCACATCATCAGGAGAGGTCATGTGCGAACTTCCCGCTTCCATCTGATTAGAGCAACGAGGCCACTTCTTCTCTAGAATCAGAAATAGAAAAATTACAACTTTGATTATTGTTATAAGATACCAATTTAAAAAAAAAACACCTTTAAATGTTTTAGATACAGTATTTTAGATCAGAGTACATGCAGGATTATTTTTCAGTAGTGTTCATTTTGATTTTGTTTTCATTTTGATTTTGGCTCTCATGGACCTCCATAGATTTCATACCGACATTTAGAGCACTCATTGCTGATTGGCATAGTGATTAATTTTAATTCTTTTAGTCTATTTTGATCAGTATAATCTATTTTATTATTGTTTTTTCTTACTGTTTGCATCTATTTTATTAATACATCACATCACATTATATGAGTCACTCTGAATTACAACTTTGCATCAAAGATGCTACACAAAAATAGACGTGATTTGATCAAGTACTAGCAAACTGCTAACCTGCTATTATTTAAAAAGCACTGCAATTTGCTTTCACTATAGCAATACTTTTTTTATAGTGACTTAATTCATCAATAAGTGGATTTCCAACTCTAAAACTCTACCTGGCCGCAGTTTGTCCTGCAGGAAGTCACAGATGAGCTCGGCTTTCTTGGTGAGTTCATGCTGCAGCAGCTCTTTGTCCTGCTTCAGACTTGAGATGATCTCTGTCATCTGCTGGTTGCGGCTGCGTTCTGCACAAAGTAACGCTTGCAGCTGCTCCAGCTCGTTCTGCCCCCCTGCAGATTTACACACACACACACACACACACACACAGAAACACACAAACAGTGAGCAACAGGAAGCCAGACAGCTGGGTACAAACACACATGAACATGAATTTCAATCATTTCTGGGGGGGGGGACACTCACAACAAAGCTGTACCTGAAGTCTTCTCTGTAGTCCCTGTGGCGGAGCTGCATCCCTCAGCCTGCTCCGTGGTCCCTGTTATGCAGCTGCCTCCTCCCAGCAGCCCTATCTCTGGGTCCACTAATCCCTCACACCCCAGATCCTGTCCATGCTGGGGCTGGGGGCAGGGTGGGAGGGTCTTGTTGGGCAACAGTGTGTGTGTGATTTGAGAGTGTGTGTTTGGTGCCTGACAAGTCTGCAAAACATTGACAGCATCTGTCACAACTAGCCCCGTGCTAGCTATGTTAGCAGCAGTGTCAAAATCCTCTGCTGAGGTTACTTCCTGCTTGACCTTCTTCCCAGCAGCTGCTCCTCCCGGTGCCCCTCCTCTTTTCCTGCATGGCAGAGGCTCATAGTCGGCATCATCGTCTGTGGCCGACGAATCACAGCCGGCCATGTCAAACAGCTGGCTGCTGAACTCCTCAGCCTCTGATGCTGCTTCGCTACAAGAGAGGTCACATGATGCCCTCACTGTCACCTGTAAGGTAAGGACGTTTATGCCGCATGGTATTAGTATTACTCATACTCTGATGATGTCATCAGGGTTATCTTGGCTTGGGCTTGAAGACTACAAGGGTTTGACAGAAAGCCTGCATTGACTTGGCTCTCAAATCCTGTGTTAACAATCTTATCTTGGTAACCTCATTAACTCTACTTTACCTTATTGGATGGACGCCCTCCAACAAACCTGTCCTGGCTCTGGCTGGTGTTTGCTGAGCCTCCACGGCCGCTGCCATGGTCATTGAGGGGCCAGTGGTAGGCGTGCCCGGCACCACAACCCCACATAGCGACAGGAACACTGCTGCCATGGGGACCAGGGTCTGGTGTCAGCACGTTACCATAGGACCCACAGGTGAAGTGCTGCAGGCTGGGGATGAGGTTGCAGATGGTGCCGTGGCTGTGAGCCCAGCGGACGAGTTTACACAGACTGTCGGAGGTGGTCTGAACCGAGTCGGACATGATAGACACCTAGAGAGGAGAGAGTATCAACAGCCTGCAACCAGTGGTGGTTTAGAGTACAGTAATTGTTAAGGCTGACCAAACTTCGTCAAGGTTTACTGTTTTGATGCCTTTTCTCTACTCTCAACCATCCTGGACCTGGAGTATAGGACCAAGATTTACATAAGGGTTTGTTTAAATAAATACAGAATATCTTTAAGATTGAGACTTGCAATTAGTAGTATAATACTAAATTAGAGCTGCAACTCATGATTATTTTAATTAATGATTAATCTGCTGATTATTTTCTTGATTATTCAATTAATCGTTCTTTTCCATAATGTAAGACTAAACCGATTATTCCATTATCAAGAGTTCTGTTGCTCGACTAATCGATTAATCAATGAATCATTGCAGCTGTATAGTAAATCATAAATAGTCACATGATGTATTGGTCCTCCTGACAGCTGACAGCTGACAGCTTGGATCTAATGAACTTGCAGGAGGACTTTTATTCTGTATTTTTATGGAAGCCGGAAGAAATTTCCTGTATTACTACTTATATATAGTCAATACTGAAACCTTTCATTTACTTGAGAAGAGCAACTGGGTTATTGGTATGACTGCTCAATGTTGCCAAAGAAAATTAACACAAACATTCATAATAAAAAATAGAATAAATAAAACAAAATAAAGAATAACAATTTCTAAGGGTATTCTCTCCCTATCTCTCTCTCTCTCTCTCTCTCTCTCTCTCTCTCTCTCTCTCTTACTCTCACACACACACAAACACACACAAACGTGCACATCCTCACACAGTAACACAACTGGGTAAGTGAATTGTGCATGCTACTGATACTTAAAACTACACTCAAGCCATCCTCAGGGACAAATAGACATCTTGTCGATCATCAGACTGCCTACATGTCTATCACATCTGTCTGCAGACACACCACACAATCACCAGGCACAAGAACAAAGCTCCTACATCCCATCAACATCTCTCATATTTACCTTTTTTTTTTTTTTTTTTTTAAATATATGAATTAAAACATTCAAGCTTTGAGTCCAGGCACATCTTCACATCGTCCTCATTTATTCCACATGTGTCCGCAGCCTCAGACACAGGCGACTATTAATGTGGTAATGACGCAACTAATGTTTGGTTAAATATCATGAATATCATTTCATATGTACAGTATTTGTTTAATTGTTACACTCTTTGTCTGGAAGGTTTAACATCGCCAGAATGCAACGTGAAAGTCGCTTTACTGCCAGCAGCTGGACAGGAGGAGGAACTGTTGTCTCTCACTGTTTGATGTAACGCTGACCTCTAGTGGCCGGGGTGCACCAACGCAGGGAATATTAGATTAAATTAGATTTATATACTATATCATATTCATTATATTACATACATACATTTTTTATATTATATTATATTAAATTATATTTTTACGTTATATTACATTATATTTTTATATTATATTATATTGGTACATTCAATGTCCTCTCCAAAAAGTGTTTTGCTAATTGCTTCATTACAGAGTTTGACGTTTGCAGGCTGTTAGCAAATTCATCTGCCGAAGGGGGGAAGCTTCAGTGTGTTTACCTTTAAGTTTAAGAGTTGGAGACATGTACATATGAGCAGGATCTTGTAAAAGAACAACTAGTTTGGAAGGCAGCCCACATAATGGTTCATAAATGGTTAAATAGTTCTCTGTGTGTTTTTATTACAGAGGCGTTGTAGTTATAGGCCTACTTTGAATCTGAGGCATTTTCATCAAACCCAAAAGGAACTTTTACTGCAGACATTTATTTTTCTAAACTATTAAAATGATGCAGGAGTTTTAAGCAGTTTTTTTTTTTTAATGTTACAGCACAGAGTGTGACACTGGAAGGCTGTAAGCAAATTCATCTGCAGAAGTGGGGAGGTTTCACTGTGTTTACTGTCAATGGTGTTTACCTTAAAGTTTAAGAGTTTAAGACATGTACATATGAGCAGGATCTTGGAACAGCACAACTAGTTTAGAAGGCAAATATGGTCCAGTATGCAACTCACAGAAGTATGATGTGGGAACCAAGAAAAGACCTCCAGTGCACATACACTGAGAATTAACTTTACTTTTGAAGACTGTATAATAATTAAAGCTGCATAGAACCCAAAGTAAAGAGTAATAATGTATGTCTGATATGTTTTTTCCCACAAAAAAGTTACCAGCTACCTTGTAAAAAATCTTAATATGTCTTCCAGTGGAGAAAACGGGATGAGGTGTCATATGCCTTACAAGCTCTCTGCATCCTTCTAAATGGTTAAATAGTTCCCTGTGTATTTTTATTACAGAGACAGCAGACCCTACTTTAAACCTGAGTCATTTTCATAAAACTCAAAAATGACCCATTGATACAGAAATATATATTTTTCTCAACTCGTGAAATGTTTGGTAATAGGCTATTATTTAAATAACTGATCATCTGGATGTGATTAATAGCGGTTTATCCATTGGTTTTGAGACATATTCAAAGTAAAGCCACTGACGCAGACACATGGCCATACACTGATATGAAGCTGTTCATGTCAGCCGCAGATGGAGCTTTTAAACCGAGGTCCTGTGCGGTTTTCCATGTATATGAATACAGTGACATGACTGAACTAGCTCCTGGCTCCACCCTCCGTTAGTCAGCCAGTCTACTACGTGTTAAGACTGGTGCCTTTAACTTACAAGCATCTCAGGGAGAGGAGGAGGAGGAGGGAAAAAAAGAAAAAAGAAAAGGACTTCCCCCCCCCCTCCCTCCCTCGGCTCTTATCTGGAGGAATAAAGCAGCTACACGCAAGTTAGTCAACTTTTAACTGCAACCGGCATCCGCACTTGGAGCGAAAACATCCCATAAAGGCTGGTTTTCCTCTGCGTTCTCCGACTTGGATTGGGTTCTTCATGGAAACAAATGATATTTGAACCCGCAGAGAGGAGCGGAGAGAGAGGAGGTGGGTGTCGGGTACAAGTCTGTGTGTTTCTGTTCTTGTTCTTTTATGCAGCCGAGCTCGGACACAAGTCTATTTGATCTTAAAGTGGGGGAAAAATACATAGCCCCGTTGCTGCTGCTCTCAATCTCTTTCAAGTTTTTAAAGAGCTCTTAAAAAGGTTTAATCCGGGAAGAAGAAAAGAAAAAAATCAAGTTCCCGAAGGCAACTTTGCAGTGAAAGACAGGACACAGCGAGGGAAAGAGACTATAAGTCATATAAGTGTTAAATTATGGCGTTAAAGGCCAGAGTGCTGTACGACTTCCACTCTGAGAACCCTGGTGAGATCTCCATATCAGAGAATGAGCTGGTGACTCTGTTCAACGAGGAGGAGCTGGAGGGCTGGCTGGAGGGGGAGAACAGCAGGGGGAGGCTGGCCTCTTCCCTGCCTCCTATGTGGAGATCATCAGGGACCACATCACCTCCAACGCCAACAACAACGGCTTCTCCTCGCCCAAAACCAAAGCCCAGTCGCCCACCCACGCCCCCTACACGTCCTCGGACACCCAGTCTCAGAGAGGTCTTGGGGCCGGTAGTGGTGGCAGTGGCGGAGGCAGCTTCCACACCAGCCAGGGGAGTGATGACGACTGGGACGATGACTGGGATGACGGCTCCCCTGCGACCGACGTGCCTCAAGGTCTCGGCAGCACGCCCCCCTTGTACCCGGTGACCTCCTCCTTGCCCGGGCGGCGTGAGAGCACCCAACAGCATCAGCAGCAGGCCAAGAGCTCAGCAACGGTGGGGAGGAACCTCAACAGGTTCTCGACCTTCGTCAAGTCCGGAGGGGAGGCCTTCCTGCTCGGGGAGGCCTCTGCTTTCGTGAAGGACGGGGACAGGATCTGCGTGGTGATGGGGAAGCATGGGCCGGAGTGGCAGGATGACCCGTATCCATTCACGTGCACCATCGACGACCCCACCAAGCAGACCAAGTTCAAGGGCATGAAGAGCTACATGTCCTACGGCCTGACCCCGACACACACAAACGTACAAGTCAACCGCAGGTATAGGCTGCCTTCCTCCTTCTCTTCCTCCTCCTCGTCCCTCTCTGGGGTCTCCAAACTGGGCTTATTTCTTCCCTGGCTCCCATACACTTAAGACAAATGTTTCTGTGGCTTTTCCTGTGGCCACAATTGTTCCCATAAAATGGCAAAAACAGAGCTGACTGTGGCCTTTTGCCCTCTGGGGTCCTCAGGAATCTCCCCCTTTCCTTTCTGAGATTCCCTTTGCACCTTTTGCATTGTCTCCCTGTCAGTAGGTCTTTCATTTCAAACTAACACTTACTCACTTACATTTCAGTTTCCGCTTGGTCCTGCTTCAGCTCACACTAGCCCTCCCCCTCGGTTTTCACTCCGTCTCACTACATTTTCCTGCATTCTCTAATCTCCCCCCATTCCCATTTACCGAACCTTCTCCCTCCCAACCTCCTCTTCCGTCATTCCCCGCAGGTACAAACACTTCGACTGGCTGTACGCTCGCCTCGTGGAGCGTTTCCCGGTCATCTCAGTGCCCCACCTGCCAGAGAAGCAGGCCACCGGCCGCTTCGAGGAGGACTTCATCTCCAAGCGGAGGAAGGGACTGATCTGGTGGATGAACCACATGATCAGTCACCCCGTGCTGGCACGCTGCGATGTTTTTCAGCATTTCCTGACGTGCGGGGCAGATGAGAAAGCATGGAAACAGGGCAAGAGGAAGGCAGAGAGGGATGAGCTGGTCGGGGCCAATTTCTTCCTCACAATCAGGTAGGGGCCCGGTTTATGTAATGCATAGGTTGTGGGTTCGATTACTGGATTAGAATTGAATGGATGTATGCAACTTGTTTGTTCTACCTGGCTCACACAGCCCATAATGTAACAATTAATTAAAACATGGAAATGGTTGTGTAACATAGATTACTGATATTTCCTGCAGCTCCAGTGGAGTTGCAGAAATGTTTCATTGATCTGAAACACCAGGTTTGACGTCAGGCACTTGCAGTTGAAGAACTTTTCTTTCTAGAGTCACCGTTTTCCAACAGCTTCAATAGTCATAGAGGGAGAAACCATAGACTGTATAATCAAAAATGGACGTAGTCTCTGTGACATCACCCATAGGTTTCTAAAGAGCTGTTGTGAAGCCTAATGTGGTCAGCTCTGGCTATCGGCATCTTGACAGTCATGATTCCTTTGGCTCCCGACTAATCCAAAAATGGGCAAAGACATGGAGCGTGGGTGGAGCTGAGGTGGGCTGAATGAAGCCTGGTTACTGAGAACAGCAGCCACTGACAGCACCCACCTCGCTCAAAGCGGCCATGCCCCTAATTATGCATAACAGTAAGCCTTAATATGATTTAATCCAATCCAATCCAACTTCATTTGTTAAGCACTTTAAAAACAACCAAGTTGACCACAAGTGCTGTACAGGAGAATAAATAAGACATCATAAATGTAAACTGTTTAAAGGTGAAATATATAAAAAATCACACCTTGTACAGCCATCATGAACAGGAAGTTTAGCAATAGAGACCGAAAGTGTTTTTTGTAACAAGGTGTAAACATGTTTATTTCTGCTGTAAAGTTCTGTGGCCGTTTGAGGAACTGCAGTTTTTCTTCCGTGTCGCTTTATTTGCCAGCCATGGAGGTTGCCGCTTGGGAGAAACCCATTGTATAAGACACGTAGAGACCAACATCTCCACAAATAGGAGCAGGAAATACACAGGATACCAAGCTGATGCAACAAAAACACAGGTTTTCAAT